ACTTATCGCGCTTGATTTACACCAGTCTTGTATCTTGTTTTTTTTCCTCGGCGAGCAATTTATATCGCATATATTTATGATAAACTTTATCAAACAAAACCACAAGCTGTCATTTTTTATAAATTTATTAGGACATTTTTTCAGGGAAGAATTTTCGAATATTCGTAACATTCATAGTTTTGTGCGGTTATTTAAATATTATATATAAAATTATACATACATATATATATATATATATATATATATATATATAATATTTTACATTTATTTTATATATATTTGTTTTTATATTTATTATTTTTATATTTATCATTATATTATACATTATAAATGATTGTTTCTGTGTGGACAGCTTGCGTATATAATTTTAATATATTAAATAGTTCACACTTTTTTGTATTTGTGATTCCTTATTGGGGCAATCGGGAAGTGGGATTGAACTACATATACATTATATAATCGAGAAAGGGTATTGCGTGGTCAGGAAGTTTTCAGTACAATCGATCAGCATACATCGATACTATTGATGTACACACACACACACATGAGCACATGAGCACATTCGCGAACAGCTGCTACCACAGGATCTCCCGCTTATCCATTCTCTCACAGTATCAAACGGGATTTTAAATAAAAGCCTGTCCGTGCGGAGAGAATTCTCTCCGTTTGACCTGATCTCTGGCAAGGACAGATAAGGACGTCCAATTTTGCGGCAATTTCTCAGCTGGTTGCTCCTGGAATCAAATCGAGGGGGAAGCTGGAGGCAGATCCGCGCCGCGGAAAATTCATGAGGATGTAATCGCTCTTTCTTTCGGGATCATGAACCAATATTCATTACGTCAATGTTCGAAGCTGATAACCACTTGATAATTTTGAAATGTACCACTCGAAGAATCGTTATTTGATAGAAATTCGTGTATAAACTTATTGATGGAACATACAGTTTCCGATATAACATCAGTTATGTAAGAGAGAAATGGTTATAATATAATTCCTAGTTATAATTATTTTATTACGCATACATCATTTATTTTTCTTAATGTTTTCTCAGTTGTTTCTTCTCCGTGCGTAACATTGCGCGATATCGCGTATGAAATTTGGTTATAATAAATAATATAATTGTATTAATAATAAATTTACTTTTTTCAATAAAGAAAAGAAAGACGCCAAGTATACCACACGGTAATTAATTTGATTTGAGTAAATATTACTTGAATGCTTTCTTTTTTTTTTTTTTCAAGTAATGTATTGATTCAAGTAAAATTTATTTAATTCAAATAAAAATTTGCTAAGGAATACTGGAATAATTATTTGCTTGAATCTAGCATTTTTTTTCTGTGTAGAAAAAAGTCTAGATGTTGTTCTTTTCTTAAAACGTAAATTGACTGAACGTTCCTTCTTTTGACGCATTCCGTCGGTTGTCTGTATGCAATTATCTCGAGCCATTTGTCAAAATGCCGTAAAACACTCGTCGAACTTGCGGCTGGGTCCCCGCAGACTTCCACCTTCCCCCGCGATACTGTGGGTACCCCTTTTGATATCGCGACGATGAATTATCGCTCTTTCCGCGACACATTTCTAATTTCGACAACAAATATGTATCTTGCGTCTGGCGTACGTGTAAAAAACATGATACGAAGCGAAACCTGTTTTGACAAGCATCGCCGTTGCAGTTGTATATATCATTGTTTCAATGGCTACTTAATGCTTCGGCACGTTACGTAAAAAGCCATCGGTCGATAAAGGGGGACAGAGAAGGATGAGTCTAATGAAAACAAAATTAATGTCGGACAAAATATTCACACAATATGTGTGTTGCTAAAAAATGTTTTGAAGATGTTTTAAGGGGAATTCTCTGGTTGTAAGCCCGAAAAATAGATTTTTATGGATGTTTTTTGAAGAAACTATTACTCCGATCGATTTGAAATTTTGTAGATATACCAGGTGTAGAAGTATGAAACCGGAATTTTTTTGTAAAAATTACACGTCTGTTGTTTGAAAATGATAAAAAAGATTTTATTCAAAATAATGTCCATTGCTATTTATACATTTTTCCCACCTCTTCGGCAGTTTATGAATACCACGCCAAAAAAACATTTCTTCTTTTGAAGCGAACCAGCTATCGAGCTATTTTCATATATTTTCATACGAATTGAAGTGTTGTTCAGCGAGAGCGTGTCCCATTGATGCGAATAGATGATAATCGGACGGAGCCAAGTCTGGAGAATAAGCCGCATGCGTTAGTATTTCCCAACTGAACGCCTCGATCGTTTCCCTGACCCATTTTGCTGTGTGTGATGGGGCATTATCATGGAGCAAAATGACTTTGTGTTGCCTTTTTCCAGATTCCGATCGTTTTTCACGCAATGCTCGATTTAAATCGATCACTTGCTGTTGGTAGCGATCAGTGTTAACGGTTTCACCAGGTTTTAGCAGCTCATAATAGATTACACCCTTCTGATCCCACCAAACACAGAGCATTGTCTTCTTTCCAAAGCGATTGCAGTGGATGTCGATGGTTCGCCTGGATTCACCCATGATTTCTGACGCTTAGGATTCTCAAAATATATCCATTTTTCATCACCTGTCATGATACGATGGACTTTCTTTTGTATCTGTCGAGCAGCATTTCACAAGTGATTTTTCGATTTTCTTGCTGTCTTTCATTCAGTTCATGCGGAACCCATTTTCCCACTTTCTGAATCTTTCCCATGGCTTTCAAACGAATTGAGACAGCTTTCTGCGTCACATTCATGTGATCCGCGAGTTCTTCTTCAGTTTGAGTATCATCTTCATCCAATAAGGCTTGCAATTCATTGTCTGCGAACTTTTTCGGTGGTTTCCCACGCTCTTCGTTTCTCACGTCAAAATCACCACTTTTGAATTTTTTGAACCACTCGAAACACTGTGTTTTACCAAGAGCATGTTCACCGTAATCTTCGACAAGCATTCGATGCGATTCTGCAGCAGTTTTCTTCAAATGATAACAAAAAATCAATGCTGTCCGCAAATCGTAGTTCGTAGGCACAAAACTCGACATGTTTAAGGTTATAGAAAAATGTACCGGTGTATGAAACTTGGGTTGTTGTGTGTTGAAAATCTTCGTCAGCTGTTAGAGGGAGATGATGGCGCTGCAGAAGCGGTCCCTAAACTGATGGCTAGCACCATCTATAGGGAAATTCCGTTTCATATTTCTACACCTGGTATTTATTTATATTTCCCAAAGCAACTTGATTTTTTTCGAGGCTATATATTGTCTCGTTGCCGAATCGCAACGTCCGTCGCAACATGATGTCTCGAAGAAATTTGTTCAAGTGGCTCCTCCGGTTCTAGACATAATAAACCAAATTTTCATGAAAACCCTCAATCTATATGAGCGGTTCTCGTATAAATGTAGAAGTTTTGAAAAAAGTGAAAATTGAGAAAATGGCAGCATGACAAAGAAAAATTTTCAATTTCGTTTTTCTACGGTAAAAAAGATTTTACTGATATGGACATTGTATATATTCATTGCACATAGAGAACGATATTTCTTACATATAAAAGTTTGCCCGAAAGCAGTAGGTTTATTGATTCCTGAGAAAAGTTGCCAATCAGCTTGACGAATGTCGTTTGGAGAAAAACGGCTTTAAAGTTTGTGATACTGTTTTAGAGTATATCGAAAGCGAGTTACGATATTTACAACTATTTTGCGATTTTAGCGCTATAAAGTATGCCTTTCTCTTTCTCATGAATCTCTTGGAGCTGCCCGTTCATTTCCGCGGGCTTTTCGAGTGGAGCTCATAGATGTTTTCTCTCTGTTTTTGTCTAGCGATTGCTGTTCGTGCGCCGCTCAGATTAAATTTGTATAACTCGGCCAATTTTCATATGCTATAGGCATTAAAATGTTCCCAAGACTTCAATATTTAAGAAAATGCAAAGAACATAAGATTGATTTTTCGAAGCTTAACCTTTTAACTGCCGGGGTTTTGGTGTATTTTTTTTATTTAGAAAGTTGATAAAATGTGTTCATATTTCTTAAGTTTGACCCCAACAAAGTTCCGATCACAGGTAGCATCTTATATAAGACTTTCCGGCAGTGAACCGAAGGGACAAATTTTGAATTTTTTAAATTTGCAATAAAAAGCGTATATAGGGGTTTTAGAGGATGGGGAACACAATGGATTTTCTCACCTTCTCTCAGTACTTTTAGACTCACTACTGTATTTTTATAAATATTGTTCAATGTGAATTTGTATAATCAAAAGGATATCTATATTTATAACTGCAAAACTGCAAAAAAAATTATCTAAAATTTAAATTATTTCTTTTTTATAGTTTGCTAATATACTCGAACGAATTTTTTCAATAACCAAATTTCAATATGGACTAAAAGTAATAAGATGGGTTATTTTCGATCGTTATAAAGGGGTAGTTTTTTTATCTGATAAAGGGGTTGGAAAAAGTTCACGACACTAAAAAGTATTTTATTTTTTCAAATCAGCAACCTCGAAAACTGGGAATTACCAAATTTCAATATGGACTAAAAGTAATAAAATGGATTACTTACGATCGTTATAAAGGGGTAGTTTTTTTATCTGATAAAGGGGAAGGGGGGGGGTCCCATAACACACAAAGGTATTATTTTTTTATAGCAACTCGAAAACAGGTAAATAACAAATTTCAGTACGATTAGAAAGTAAAAACACGGATCTCACTAGACCGTCTTATATAAGATTTTCCGGCAGTCAAAAGGTTAAAACCCCGAGAATCCCCTTAATGTTCTCTACGATACGTCAAAATATATCATTTGTCAAGAAACGATCACATCAATCCAGATATTTATAGAATCTATTTTTAAATTGAAAATAAAACCTTTTCCGAAGAGAATTTTATTTTCTATTTATCTTTCTTCGTTTCTGGCTGTGTACCACTTATCGAGAAACACTCTATTCAAGCGATTCTCGCATTTAACTAATTAATATAACTTGCGATTATATAATTGTACGTGTGCTTTTCAGGTATAAGTGCCTGCGAAAGGAAGTCTTTCATATTCCTTAGGAAGGAGCTGCCGGTGAGACTTGCCAACATTATGAAGGAAATTCACTTGCTACCGGACAACCTGTTGAAGATGCCCAGTGTGGGCATCGTAAATAATTTATATGCCACATCTTTTGAGGAGATTATACACTTTGAGAAGGTCGAGATCAACGATGACAATTTATACAAGTGAGTATGCGAATCACTTTCTCCCGGACAATATCGCTCCTTGTCTCACGGCTTTCTCTTCGCAGATTCTGTCAGGCTTTGATCAAGATTCGGAACAGACACACCGACGTCGTCCAGACGATGGCACAAGGCGTCCTGGAGCTCAAGGATTCCCACGATGTAGACATTCAAACTGAGAACAGCATACAATATTTCCTCGATAGATTTTTCATGTCGCGCATTTCAATACGTATGCTGATCAATCAGCACAGTGAGTAGATTACGCGCTACTTTGGCGAGTCTCATTTGTATCGGCGATCTGACTGACATTTTTAACTCCCGTTTCAGCGCTCCTTTTCGGTGGATTAAATGGGCACAATAGACACGTAGGATGTATAGACCCGTCCTGTGACGTGATAGGCGTCATTAAGGACGCTTACGAGAATGCACGATTTTTATGCGATCAATATTATATGGCTAGCCCGGAACTGATAATCAAGCAACATAATGGCAAGTTTGAATTATGTTGATTGTACTAAGTGTTACACGCTAGTAAGTAGTTTCGAATAAACGACTTTTTATAGAGGTAGATTCCTTCTATATCGCATAGTCTTAATCGCCGTCACCGTTATATTCTTACATTTTCTATTATAAAGTATATATATATGTAAATATGATATCATAGGGCTCTCAAAAGTGATAATAGCGATTTAATTGTCGCCTGTTCTGTTCTTTCAGAGCTTGTGTGCAGTACTGAGATTAGGATCATTTATGTGCCGAGCCATTTGTACCATATGCTATTCGAGATCTTCAAGAATAGTATGCGAGCTGTGATGGAGCATCATGGAGAGGACTCGGACAATTATCCGCCGGTTGAGGTTGTGTTGGTGCGCGGTAAAGAGGATATCTGTGTGAAGGTACGACGAGCGATTTCTTCGGCTGCCCCCTATTTAAATATAATTTTTTAATATAATTGGAAAGGGAGACAACACTTTTTCGGGCATATGTGGAGAAGGAACAAACCAATAAATATATTGGGCTTACGAAAAAGATCGTTTTTTTTTTTTTTCACTTAAAATGCACAGTCTGTCTAATAAGATCGATCTATAACTTTTAAACTACTTATTGTAAAGGAATGAAAAAAAAAAGAAAAATTGCACATGTACTACACAATCAATACTACGACGCTTTCGTATTAATAAGTCGTTCGATCAATTCGCTGTTGTCAATTATTGTCCGACAATAATATCAACTAGGGATTACTTTCCACCAATTTTATAGCATTTTCTCGGGATAATGATTACAATATCCGTTTCATCGTGTACACTTCTTTTCCACGCAACTTTATTAATGTCCAGACCCATTTTCAATAGGACCTGCGTCTGATGACCAGATCTAGTATTCCGACCTTATTTTTTTCCTCTCACTGGGACGACTCCAACATTGTCTTCTTAAAGGATCCAGTCGTGACTTTTACCTTGAAATCACTTTTTTCGGCTAATGATATTAATGCTCTCTGGTAAATTTTGACTATCTTTTTGGCATTTAAATTCTCCATAGAGTAGGCCGAATTGGATCACAAGGAGAATCGAATCAGTATAAACTTTAAATCAGTTGTTTTTTGTTTCATACGAGCTGCTTTATCGCGTCATCTTCCTCCGCACTCATTTGAAACAAGAAACTAACGACAACTGTTTCAAAGTTTATATTGATCCGATTTGCCTCAGTCTACTCTATATTCCGGTACTCATAATTAAATACGTCGTTCTTTAAGGGGTTAAGTCCATTCTGAACCCTCCAAAAAATCGAAAATTTTTTTTGCTTGTTAAATCGATAAATACAAAATTTTTTGTCCGAAAGTGATATTCCAAATATTAACAAAGATACAGTCGATTATGTCGATCGGTGTCGTGTCATTTTCGATGTAACGGTTTTCAAAAGGAAGTTTGCACGGTCTTATCAGACAGATTGTAACATTGATTTATTTTAAAATATATTAAATCAAATTTAAATATACGTCGTTTTGTTCGATGATTTGCTATATCTCCGCTAGCTGCATCCCAAACAACACATACGTCTGAAAGACATCTCAAAGATGTCCTTTAGATATCTTATTGTTTAAGAAAACGTCCATACGACGTTTTAGGATGTCTTAATGTTATCTGGGATGATCCCGCGTCCGTAGAAATTCTGGGGTTTTTGAGCGAAGAACTGATTAAAAATGAACGGAACGAACTTTCACGACAACTCAATAGTTCGGAAATTGAGAAATTGCCGTCAATTCGCCGGGTTTGTTTCAGATATCCGATAGGGGCGGCGGGATACCTCGCTCGCAAACGGACCATTTATTTAAGTACATGTACAGCACTGCTCCGCAACCGAGCAGATCAGATGCGCATACGGTACCGCTTGCAGGATACGGCTATGGCCTCCCCTTATCGAGGCTGTATGCTAGGTATTTGCACGGCGATATCGTTTTGCTCAGTTGCGAGGGCTTTGGGACGGACGCTATTATTTATCTGAAGGTACAGCGTCACAGACTTTGTCGCGAGGAATGTGTATGGAGGAGGTTCTTCGGAGATGTAGAAAAGAGTTCGGCTAATCGAACTCCCTTCATTTTCAGGCGTTGTCCACCGAGGCGAACGAGCTGTTGCCAATATTCAACAAAAGTTCGTCGAAATTCTATCGAACGCCGGTGCCTACTGCGGACTGGAGCAGTCAGTGCGGCGGTGGAATGGCCACGAGGCAACTCAGTATGGGTCACATGCAAAACCACAGGCTCCCTCACGGGATACAAGGTAGTCATAGCTAGCAGAAGGCGATCGATGCGGATCAGGAAACGATAGAGTGAGTAATTTGTGACATGACCGGCGCTACTATCCAGTAACTTGAGTCATCTTTTGTCTCTTTTTCTTGACAAGTTACTAAAAAATTCATCGTCCAAAAATGGGTTACTATAGTCACTTTTTTCCTAAGCTGCCGTTGAATTTGTAAAATATAGGCGTTCGGTATATAAATAAATATATATATATATATATTTTTTTTTTGCCATCTCTTTTGATAAAACTACTCCGAAAGCGTGCGCAGAAAAAAATTAGTCTTAAATCAAGATAAGTATTTTCATATGTAAGCAAGAATATTATAATATTCTTAGAAGATTTTCACATTTGAATTGAGTTCAAGTAATACTTGCATCAATAAAAGTGCGATTAAATCAAGATTTAAAATCTTCTAAGAAGATTAACATTCTTGCTTATATATGAGAATATCTATTCTTGATTTTTAAGATTAATTTTTTCTGTATACTTGTATGCCCTTGGTTTTTTCTTGTTATGAATTTTCAAATCGTACTATAAAAAGAACTCGTTATATCAGATACGAATTCACGAGATAAGAACAAGTTATCCCAAGATAAATCTGGGAAGATAAGAGAAAGTGTTACTTTTTTGCTTATATGGTCTTAGTTACTCTCAGAATTTGACAAAAAATTTTATTTTTGGTCACTATTTTGATGTTTGAGAGGTCACTTTTGTCATCTTTTCTACCAAGAAGCAGTTACCGTTTCATTGTTTCGTTGCGCTGACTAGATGGTAGCGTTGGACATGACGCGAATGAGAACGCTCGTTAGCTCTTTTTCGTCTGCTTTGAAACGATTGAATATTTCACTTCTGTTTTGCAGGGAACTCGGAAAAGTCTTCTGACTTCGTGATTGCAAGAAATGATGTTTAAGTTTTCTTGTAACTACTTACGGAGGCAAGATGGGTTTATATACGAAACGAGTATTGGAGGGCTACAGGAGAGCTACATGAAGGACAATTAGAACAACTGAACGAATGGAATGCTACATCGGCCAAAAATAATATTGATATTCTTGTTTGTGCCGTAATTATATTACATATCAAATCGATTATTCAGATTTGATACGTTGGGATTTTTTATTTCTACCATATACATGTATACACGCATACATGTGCGTATATATATATATGTGTGTGTGTGTGTATGTGTGTGTATGTGTGTGTGTGTATATATATATATATATATATTTTACATGTACACGCACACGCATGCACGCACACACACGTGTATGTATGTATGTATGTATGTATGTATGTATGTATGTATGTATGTATGTATGTATGTATAGCAAAAATATATAGCATGAACAACAGGCACAACCATAAGACGTCAAATTCATATATGCGGTTTTAATCTCTTCGAGGATGAATTTTGACTAAAGTTGGTTTAATATGACTTAATTTTAAAGCGACGAGAATATGTTTTCTGTTAATCATATGGTATCATTTCTTGAAGAATTTTATGATGAATATTTATTCACATGATAATGTTATAATTTTGGTAACAATGAATTAAAAAAAAAAGAAAAACTAAATGTATCCACACACACGTATGCGTGCGTGCGTGTATGTGTTCCTGAAGAGATTATCGAGGAGATTTATCAGGAGATTTATAATTGATTCCAAGGAAAAAGATAAAAAAAAGTGATAAACCTTGATAATATTAAAGACAATTTGTTATATGACGAAACATCTAAATGAGCATGAATTGTTGGACTATGACTGTTTGTAATATTAATTTGTAATATTAAGATTGTTTTAAGATTAATATTAAAATTAATTTAAGACTTGATATTAAAACTTAATATTGCGACGAATATTGAGACATAGTATTAAGACTTATATATTGAAATTAATATCAATATTGTATGTCGGAATGCATTTGGCCTTCTTTCAGCGGTTACATAAATCACCTCAGCATTTTTTTTTTAAGTGAAAAAAATTAGAATACATTTTTCATTGTGTTAAAAGGCGACAATGAAATGTTTGGAGAAACATTCTAGACCATATTCTGGATCTATTCTAAAGAATAGTTTTCTGATATAACTACATTAGAAAATTAATTGTACATTTGGTTATACAATTATTCATCTGTATTATTGAAATTGAACATGCAAAACAATTTAAATATTAAAGGTTTTTATATGAATATAGTGTTTTCTTTTTGGTTCTTCTTGGTTCTTATCTTACTGAACAATGATTTTTTTTTGTATCAATAAGATCATTCAAAAAAAGATTACAACGTTTTTTAGTCGATGAGTTTCATAACACATCTCAGGTCCGATAGGAAAATATATCTCCTGAGAATTGCTAAGAAACAAATTTATTGGACATGGAATGCTTTATGAAACTTATAAATAAAGTATAGCGACCTTTTCGTGATTGGTTATACGGGCTCGGCGCCTGTATTATATTCCACAAGGTTTTTCGGATTTATTAAATTTTTATTATCCACCGATTCCACTTTCGAGATTTTTCCAGCGAAGATTTGATCAGAGGCAACGATTGATACAATTTCGAGACCACGAAAGGGCCGCTTTCAATAGATAGTTTGAGACACATGGCAAATCGCAGACTGTGAGACAACGTGAAAATTTTATTCAGCTATTAGATAATTACATCTATATTACTCATGCGCATATATAGTATATAAATTATAATTTTACATATGCCGCTACGTATACATACCGTTCTTCCGGAACGACTAAAAGTGCCAACTTATGAGACGCTTGCTGTAGCGTTGAACGTGATCATGTAGTTTCAATCTGAAAAATTAGTTGTACATTCATTAGGGAGATTTCCAATCTCCAATTGAAGTATAATCTTCGAACTAGAATAAAAATGGCAGAAATATAGTAAAAACACAAGAATAATTAGTTATCACAATATATATAATATAAAAGATATGATATTTTTTAGCATTTGCTAAATATTGAAGCCTCTAAAATTGTCTAATATTTTAACTTTTCTCATCCAGTTAGTAAAACATTGCGTGTCTTTCTAACGTACGTAGTATAGTAGCTATGGTGTGTTCGATAAAGATAAGACCCGCATCTTATCAAGGTGAGCGATGAATCTAGGGCAGCCTGTACATAGAATCCCGTGATTCATTACATACGCATTACTGTTGTATCCCATGATCCCTTTAATTTGTATGTATCTCACGTGCATTATGACGTTAGAAAAACGGCGCGTATTTAAAGCCGACAGATGATTCCTCGGAATACACATTCTCCAAGTACAACCCATGAAGACGGACCGAGTGATATCTGACGCCTGATTTGTCATTCGGGTAAATAACGTAAACGTAAAAAAGAGTTTAAAATTTTCGTAATGAAGATACACGAATTTATTTTCGGGAAATGTAACAGCACTTCCCGACACATACAACACAATTCTCGACACGAAATCATAGTCGATTTATCAATTTGCATGAGAAACCATGATTTTTTTGTTTGTCTGTAAAAATTGCTCCGGAAATCTTATCATTTTTTTTTTTAATAAAATATCTATTTGTAAATAAATATTCGGAGCATCAAAATTATAAGAATTTCGCGTTTTTAAGGTAAGTTAACATCGAAGCACAGACAAAGAAAAATTCTCTCCGATGCGACTCGGCTTTTGATGAGGTTTTATTAAATATTAACAATGCAAGATTTAACTAGATAATGTAACGAAAGTAAACGCATCATTTGTGAATATACTTCCTTATTGACTGAAGCGATCGTTTATTATCAAGCGTCCGAAGAACTCAGAAAATTATTATCAGTCAGGACAAGAATGAGAAAAATCCTTATCGTGATAAAACAGTCATGTGACATAAATAGAATAGTGAAAGAAGTGCAAAGTTCTAGACAACAATAAACGGTGGATAAACCGTTTTACTAAAATTATATTCAGTAGGTAGGTAAGCAGAGAATATTAGATAAACATATTGGAAATGTGATTTTTTAAGGTTTCATAGATAATGTTATTTCGATATTTTACAAATATTATTGTAATATCTTTAGTAAAAATTAATTCATTAACTCGTGGATAAAGTTCAGCGATTCTTGACTTGAAGATAAAAAAGAGAATAATTTTTATAGGGAATAAGAAAATAAAATCCATTTTATATACATGAGAAAGTTAAAAATATTAACACAAACTGTCGGCGAGACGTCTCAGGATATTACGAAATGATATTAATGAAGAGTGAGTAGATTTACTTATTGTATACATCCGTCTTCCTTGAATGTCACGATGTAATTAACGGTGAATTGAGAAAGTTGATTGAGAAAGACAACTGACGGAAAATAGATCTATTGATAAAGCTACGTGATTAATACGGCGGCTGAGCAATATCAAATAATTAAAGGAAATAGAGATTACTCGTGAACATATAATATACGTATGACAATAATTCACGCAAAGTATTGCAGTATATTATTTCAAACAGATTCTCAAAAAAACTGAATTTTTTTCGTCATCAGAAGATTTCATTTAAAAAGATATACAAGCAGACTTGATTTGCAGATTTTTATGAATATGAAAATATCATAACTTTTTAATGAACATTGAACAGACCATTTTTTGCATCGTCCGACTCGCGTAAACACTGGAAAACGTGTTGTAATCAAACACTTCATGAGTACAACAATACCTGGAATATTCGCTCTCGATAATATTTATTGATTATCAGCTTGGGAAGCCCAGTTTGAATTGATATCGCTGTGAAATCTCATTTTGATCAGTCGAGCATTCGAAATCAATTGGTGCGATAACGCCGTTCTTTCGAAGTTAATAATAGAAGAACGGAATAAAACTCTAAGACAGTTGCTTCGATCGGACGATCTGATTTTCTTTAATTAACACGTCGAATGAGTTAAGATGATAGATCGTTGGTGCGGTGTGCATCGATGTGCTTAAATACATCGAACGAAACAGTGGTGGCAATTAGAGTGCTTCTGTCCGCGAAAGGGTAAGCCAACAATATTCTCTCGCCGAGCTGAGACGAATTGAACGCGCATTTTCCAAAGCAATTCAGAGATATATTCCGGTGATTTTCTCAATTGTATTCATTCAAGTCAAACGGTTAATCAATTCTTACCTTGTCGCGGCGATTTTACGTGTCGATGATAATTAACGAGAATTGCGATTCAGATCGAAGAATAATACTCATTGTGTGTCCGAGCAGAGCCACCATGTGGAAGGCAATACTGCTGTGTGCGTTTGTGGGCCTGGCGACCGCCCAGAAGGCCACCTTTAACAACTACAAGGTCTTTAGGATCATGCCAATCACGGGAAAGCAGGTGGAATTGTTGCGCCAGCTCGAAGAGATTCCCGATGGGGTGAGTAAACCGTCTCGATTGCTAATATCCACACACAGAATCAAACACATTATTTTGAATATATTCAATAATCCGTGTGACGTTCCTTTCAATATTAAATTCTTAACTTTACGTCGACATTCTTGTAAACAATCTCGAAAGTTGGGTGTTAAAAGAGCGCGAAATGAATGAAATGCAACGTGCCTTCGTAGTTCTCCTTCTGGCAGTCGCCGAGCTACGTGGGGAGAGCTGCGGATCTTATGGTAGCTCCGCACAAACTGCCAGAGTTTCACGAAATAATGAAGCAAGTCAACGTGCCTTACAACGTTCACATCGAGGACGTGCAGAAGCTGATCGACTCGTCGACGCCTCAGATCCGAACGAGTTCCTTCGACTTCACCAGCTACCACACCCTCGACGAGATCTACAAGAACCTGGACGACCTGGCCAAACAATACCCCGACAAGGTGCAGGTCATAGTGGGCGGTGAGACGTACGAAAAACGGCAGATCAAAGGCGTAAAAGTGTCCTTCAAGTCGAACAACCCCGGTGTGTTTATCGAGGGTGGCATTCACGCCAGGGAGTGGATCACGCCAGCCGTCGTTATGTACATGACGCATCAAATCTTGACCAGCAAAGACGCGGATGTCAGAGACATGGCCGAGAGCTACGACTGGTATATCTTCCCCTCGTTCAACCCGGACGGATACGTGTACACGCACACCACGGTGAGTGGTTATTATCTTGCTGCCTTTGGTCGCATTGAATAATATTGAATCGCGATTAATACACAGTTTATCGCGATGTTTTGAGAATGATTGAAGTTATCTTCATTGGATATCACTTACAAACATTTCTTGCAGGATCGGTTGTGGAGGAAGACCCGTAAACCATACGGTATCTGTAGAGGCACCGACCCGAACAGAAACTGGGACTACAAGTGGAACAGTGAGTACATTGTCGTTTGAATGCGTCACTCAATCAACATGTTCGCTAGTGATTTTATACGCGCGATTCAATTTTCTTGGAATACGATTAATATCCATGTCGCGCATAAATGATGATATTGAGAGGTGTGTGTCGACAATTTTATATTTTTATTTCTATCAATTAATTTTTATCATTTATTAGTGTATCTTGATCTGATTCTCAGCCGGAGGCTCCAGTAGTTTCCCGTGTGCTGAAACATATGCCGGGAGCGCGCCGTTCTCCGACGTTGAGACGAAGAGTATGTCTGAGTACATGAAATCGATCAATGACAAATTCTTCGCGTATATCTCGTTCCACAGTTATTCGCAGCTTCTGATGTTCCCTTACGGTCACACGAAGGCACATCTTGACAACTATGACGAATTGGTAAGGAATCGAGCAGTGTGATAAACGCGTTCTTCTTCGTCAATTGCGAAGAAATTCAATTCTTCGATGTAGGAAAGCAATTGCCGTCTCCAGAAGAGATAATACCAATTATTGTGTCACAAAGCGTTGTTTTACAAACGTAATCATTCGACTTGTCGACAACAAAGATCCGAAACAATGTCTTCGCATATATTGGTTGAATTAAGAATATTTCACTAACGAAGATATTAGCCTCGTAGTGAGAAAGAATAAGAGCCGCGGATAGATGTTGGTAATTTCAATCGGAGGATAAATTTGTTCGTAACGTCAATATTTGACTTATATTGTCGTAACACATTACAGCGATCAATCATTGTTATAGTTGTTTAATACGGCGTTAATGATTTCAGTACGCCATCGGCAAAAAATCGATCGAAGCTCTTAAGAAGAGGTACGGCACTGAATATATAACCGGAAATATCGCCGAGACGATCTGTAAGTATTCCTTTCATTCTTCATCTTATCTATCATATAATTCGGAATTTGTTCGTATCATTCTTGATGAATAGCATCACGTGCTGTCATATTTGATTGTTTGCGGTAGAAGTCAACCTCCTATGCTATATCACAGCCACTGACTTGGCTTGAATGTGAAACCTCTTTTCAGACGTAGCCACTGGAAGTACCATAGATTATGTCAAGGGCACGTATGGGAAACCCCTTGCCTACACCTACGAATTACGCGATAAAGGCAGACACGGCTTCTTACTGCCGCCCGACCAGATCATCCCGACTGGAGAGGAAACTCTAGATTCCGTCGTGGCCATGTTGAAGGAGGCGAAAGCACGCGGTCTTCCTAACAAAGTTTAAGGCTCGCGATTTATTAATCATAAAATGTAAATAACAGGCGTCACGTGTCGCACGTTGCAAGAGAAAGTGACGCAACTCTTTTGTTTCGTACTAATGTCCTGAGAAGATGCACAAGATTACACTTCGTAACCAGAAATAAGGACGTTTGCATGTTCGATATTTAAGGAGAATGCTGGAGAAGCGAGAAGAAGCAAGAAGGGAAACAAAGTGTCGTCTTAATCGGCTATAATTACATTTTTCAAGTTATGCTGTTTTCCCATGTTACGCGTGATGTATTTTTATAAAACGTTAATTTTTTTTGTAATTAATATATTTTACATATTAATTTCTATGTAATTATACGTGACCTCGCACTTGAATTCCCAAATCACGTCCATCCTTTTTTATCTACATAATCAAACTAACGTTTATCTGATATGAACCAGGCTACTTATCATGGAACTGTTTGGAAACGCTTCCGAACAGTTTTATAATAGATAGATTATAATAGATAGATCTGGTTTAAAAGGCAAACAAACGAGAACTTTTATTGTTCGTAACACTTCTACGAACTTCATACAATATTCTACGAGTAACATATACAGAGATATTTGCTACCTCTTAATTCTCTTTCTATCAAATGTGCTAATACCGATGCTTAAGAACAAAGAAAAATTCTGCCAGGTGTGACTCAAATTTCGACGAGATTTTATAAAAATTTAATAAGCTTTTACGATAGGTAACGAAAATAGACGCGTTACTAGTGACAAACACTTGACAGACTTTTTTGTTGACTGAACCCGGTAAATTATTATCAGTCACGTGAAAAGTATTAAAATCCTTATAGTTATAAAAAAGTCATGCTTATAAATATACAAGTGAGAGAAGTGCAACAAACGCAATCATCGGTATAAAATTCGTGAATTGCACCCAATAGGTGAGCAGAAAATATTACGTGGATATATCGACACACATCTCGGAAATGTGGGTTCCATTTTATAACGTAGATAATTTCACAAATATTGTTGTGTGATAGATTTGGTAAAATTTAACTCGTGGATAGAGTTCAACAGCTCTCGACTTGAAGATGAAAAGGAATTGTGGGGGATGCAAAAGCAAAATTGCTCTTATGAGAAAGTTAAAAGCTTAAAAATATAATATGTAAAAGTCCGTCATATAGCGATTTCACAATAATGGGCGAAAGGGTTGCCTCGTTTTCGCTTGTTTATTTCATCTTAGCGAACGTCGACGAATTCATGTGCTATGTACGTAACATTGGAGCTTTCGGGAATATTCGGACCTGCTATGTAACGGCCGTCGTCATTATAGCGTCGGATAACGTACAAGTACACGAAGTAATGAGTACGATTGGGCATTCCGCGCGTGAATAAAGTTTCGTTCATCAGTCGTATTTTATTATTAAATCACCGTAAGTACCGCGCAGCGAATTGACCTCTACAAATAGGCGTCTCAATGGATATCACACGAATTGCGCCAGCGAAGAATAGAAAAGGTAAATAGGTTTACTTACTCTCTATATCCGCTTTTTTCGCGATGTGATTAAAAGTGTGATTGAATAAAAATCATCGATGGAAGATTCATCGACTGATAAAACTGCATGATCGATAATACAATTGAGGAATATCAAACAATTAAACAGAGATTACTCGTGAAGATACGATGGACAATGTTTCAAAGTATATTCTTTCTTTCAGTGAAATTTTCGTCTTTATGAGAAAATTTCACGTGAAAAAAATATACAAGACAGCCATCGGTCAACAAGTTCGACAATTTCCGACTCGCACATTTCTGTGAATAAAATTTCATAACTTTTTTATGAACATTGATCTCTAATTTGTAGCCTTGACACTATTTTTTTATCTTTACGGAAAACACGTCGTAATGAAATATTTCGGAAGTATAGCAGGGTCATTCGCCAGACACTCTCGATTTATGATACTTATCAGCTTGGGAGAGACTCAGATTGAATCGAATGTTATCACGGTGAGATTACATTTCGATAAGTCGAGCATTCGATCGAAATCAAAGAATCAATTGGCGCGATAGTACCATTCTTTCGAAGTTAATAATAGATAGGCGGAAAATCCAACACAATCGAATTTTCTCAATCAATCCGCCGGAAACACTGAAATGTCGGTTCGTTAGTGCCGTGTGCACCGATGTGTTTAAATACATCGTTCGAAACAGTGGTAGCTGTTATAGTGCTCCTGTTTTCCGAAAGGGTAAGCCAATGATATTTTCTTGCCGAACTAACCAGCGACGATTGAATTGTTGAGTGTATTTACTCAAACGCGAGAAAAAAACTCACGAAGACCGATATATTCCTCCAATTTTCAATAATTATATTCTCATACACTTCAAATTAATTCGCATCGATTGACATATTCACGATAGTTGCAGTGAATCTACGCTTCGATAATGATTACAATGAAAACTGCTGCTACGATCAAAGAATAACGCATTGCGCTTTCGTACAGAGTCACCATGTGGAAGACGATACTGCTGTGTGCGTTCCTAGGTCTGGCGGCTGCCCAGAAGGCCACCTTCAACAACTATAAGATCTTCAAGATCTTACCGACGACGGAGAAACAGGTGCAATTACTGCAACAGCTCGAACAAGTTGCCGATGGGGTAAGTTTAGAGCAACCGTCTTGATTGTAAATTCTAGCGCAGAGAACATTATTGCAAGTTCACTATTCAACAGCGCGTGTAATGTTCTCTCTAATATATAATTTTTAACGTTGCATTCTTACACGAAAAAAAAAATTCTGGTTTATTAACGAGAAAGGGAACGTGTTCTGGTTGAATGGAAAAGATGTTCTTATGGCCCAGAAACTCTGTTTCCTTCAACCAAAATACATCTGATTGTTCCCTTTCTGCATAATACAACGAAAAATTCTTTTCCATCTATAAATAACTGCGATACTATTTTTGAGTTCTTCTATATTTCTGAATCCTAGAACTCGCAGACGATTATTGAAACTTTGACGCGGTTTCATTGACGCGGATCTTCTTATCGAAAATTTCTTTTCAAATGTGAAATAAATGCCATGTGCAGTTCTCCTTCTGGATATCGCCGAGCTATGTGGGTAGAATCGCAGAACTTATGGTTGCCCCGCACAAACTGCCAGAGTTTCACGAAATAATGAAGCAAGTCAACATGGCATATTACAATCACATTGAGGACGTGCAGAAGCTGATTGACTCGTCGACGTCTCGGGCCCAAGCAGACTTCGATTTTACTGGTTATCATACCCTCGAGGAGATCTATAAAAACCTGGACGACCTGGCCAAACGGTACCCCGACAAGGTGCAAGTCATAGTGGGCGGTCAGTCATACGAGAAACGGCAGATTAAAGGCGTAAAAGTGTCCTTCAAGTCAAACAACCCCGGTGTCTTTATCGAGGGTGGTATTCATGCTAGGGAGTGGATTTCGCCTGCCGTCGTCATGTACATAACGCACCAAATCTTGACCAGCAAAGACGCGGATGTCAGAGACATGGCCGAGAGCTACGATTGGTACATCTTCCCCTCGTTTAACCCGGACGGATATGTGTACACGCACACCACGGTGAGTCTACGCTCTATGATAATTTCGAAATTTCGCTCCTAAGTCTATTTGATTCTACATTAAGTCTTCGAGTGGAGAATACGTCCCAATTATAGCATTGTAGAAACACGTACTATTGGAATTTAGGGGGAGGTCTAAATCTTCAAGGAGAGAGAAATGGAAATAATTTGCGGCACCAAAGGAAACACAATAGGAGATTTTTCGAGACCTAATGTAGAACTAAATGTAGAATTAAAATTTCGGCCGCCAGTCGGCTTTCGGTCGGAGATTTTTCATTCAGGGAGAAAGGAATTCTTTCCGAGATAAGAACGAGATAACTGCCTCTTTGAGATAGCGCGGATTGTTATATTTCGTGATATCTCTAAATATTTTCGATGAAGCACAATCTTATTGTCTCTGATTCGTTTAATAATAATAAATCACGCGCGTGATTGATACACACGACCTCTTCCTGCGAGAACTGAGTTTGAAGTTCGTTATCTTCATTGGATATCATTTACAAATGATAGCATATGTGTACGAGTCGAATTTCTTGCAGAATCGATTGTGGAGGAAGACCCGTAAACCATACGGTATCTGTATAGGTAGCGATCCGAACAGGAACTGGGACTACAAGTGGAACAGTGAGTTTATTGATGAGCTATGAATGCGAATTAATTAAGATGTTCGCTATTAATGTCACGCACGCGCAATAGGCTCGATTATATTTTTTTGTTGCATTATCTTGGAATGCATTTAAAAACTATGCGCTCTGTCGCGCAAGAATGATAATATTACGAGATAGTGGCAACGAAAATTTTATATTTCAATTTCTATTAATTAATTTTTACCAGTATCCGGCATTTATTAACATTACCATGTCTTGATCTCAGCCGCCGGAGGCGCCAGCAGTAACCCGTGTTCTGAAACACACGCCGGAAGTGCGCCTTTCTCCGAGATAGAGACTAAGAGCATGTCGGAGTACATCGAATCGATCAAAGGCAAATTCTTCGCGTACCTCTCCTTCCACAGTTTTTCACAGCTTTTGCTGTTCCCTTACGGTCACACCACGGATCATCTGGACAACTATGACGAATTGGTAAGTAGTAATCCCGGACTGTGTGTGATAAACGCGTTCTTCTATTTGATTAATCAAATTTGAAAGAAATTATATTCTTTCAGATAACAAAACATCGTTGCTTTCTATTTAAGATATATTGATGGTTTTCCATGTCGTTACTGTGTAATCTTTGTCGTCTGTCTATGTAATTGGTGTAGCTATTGTACCTGACATTCAATTTCTATGTAGGATTTACAGCACATTGGTACTAGATAGCGACTAGACAGAGTTTAGTATTGTAACATAATTTCGATGTGCCGACTAATATAATCCTGCTAGTGGCGAGATAGTAGCTCGACTGCATATTTTAGAAAAGACGTTCCCATCTACTACCATATTTTCTATCTAATGACTAGACAATTATAGATTGATTAGGAGTATTTAGCTAGTCACGGTCTAGTGAACTTGTCTAGTCATTACCATCCAGCTACTAGTCTTGAAATCTAATCTGTTAGACACATTTCTGGTTTACGTGCACCGGCTTGACGGACTCAGTTGATGATAATTCATGCGTTAAGGCTCTGTTCCTTTCTCGAACTTTTATGGTAACTCTTACGATAAGTGGCCCAAATATCACTGTTCATACTTTCCTTTAGTGACTGCCGTTATACTTTGAAATGGCTTTGTCCATTTGTGTCATATGACGTATAGACCATCTAGGAAACATCGCGAACAAAAGAATTTCAAAACTTAAATATAAGATTCCAAGCTGTGCAGTTTTCGCTGATAGACAATAGATCAAGGAAAGTGACTCTCGCGACTTAGTACTACGCCTTCATATTTAAATTTCTCCTGCTTCGTCATTTTCTTTGTACTTTTCTTAAAACTCCTTAAATATATCTTTTGAGAATATGACATAAAATAAACCAATTTTTTGTAAGCGATTCCTTCCTTAGTGCTGTGTTAATGATTTCAGTACGCCATCGGCAAGAAATCGATCGAAGCTCTTAAGAAGAGGTACGGCACTGAATATATAACCGGAAATATCGCCGAAACGATCTGTAAGTATTCCTTTCATCCCAGATTAATCTGTCTTATAACGCGGAATTTTTTCGTATAATTCTTGACCAATAGCACCACGAGCTGTTTTATTGTCACAGTTAATTTTCTGCGGTAGTAACTCTCCTATTATCCCTCGTTATATTCCGACTATGTACAGTCCATTTTTAAGCGCAAAGGCTCGAGCGAAGTATTGTACCGTTAAACAATGTCAAACCTCTCTTCAGATATAGCCACTGGAAGTACCGTAGATTATATCAAAGGCATATATCGTAAGCCTCTTACCTACACCTACGAATTACGCGATAAAGGCAGACATGGCTTTTTACTACCGCCCGACCAAATTATCCCGACTGGAGAGGAGACTCTGGATTCTCTCGTGGCCATGCTGAAGGAAGCGAAAGCACGTGGTCTCCCTAAAAAAGTTTAAGATGACTTGCGATTAATCGTTTATAGGAGCGACACTTTCTCACGTCGCGTGAGAAAGTGACGGAACTACAAAATTTGCACTTTAAAATTAGCATTGCGATAAGATACACAAAATATCTGTAGGAAACAAAGTATCGTCTTAATTTGCAATCGACCATAACGACATTTTTCGAGTTTTGCCACTTTTTTATGCGATATATTCTTATTTTATAAAACATTGATTTTATATTCGATCTTATTATTAATATATCTTACATGTTAATTTCTATATAATTGTGTGTGCTCTCTCGAAATTCCTATTCCATCTTCACTCGCTTCTGCGTAACAATTAACATTTATAATATACTTAACACTATACAATAATTACTATCATACAATAATTAACATTTATAATAATAATAATTATTATTATTATGTGATATGAATTATGCTTAAAAAGTAATGAAAACGAGATCGGAGTAGAACGTAATTTTATTATGTAAAATGATTTTACAAATTTCATATTGTATTTTACGAGTGGCTGCGATATTTCTTAGAACTATTCCCTTTCTACTAAATGAAACAATTTTCGTATAATTTAATAAAAAATTTAATAATATTAATATCACCTGTCATTTAGTTAATGCAAAGAAATTTTTGTTTAATTTTCTTTCATAGACTAGTTGGAACTTCAATAATGAGGCTTCCAATAGAAGTATAACAATGCATTTATTCCTTGAGTTAGAAGAAAAATAGTGAAAAAAATTGGAGAATTAAATTGCTTTATCGTAAAACATTCGATATTTTCTCATATTTACTAACTCTTCAATTCTCTTAGATTTTGTAACATTATAAATTTTCTCATCCAGTTAGCAAAGTAAATTGCATGTTTTTCGGCAATTCTTACGTACGGTTGCTATGGAATGTTCGATAAAGATAAGCGTATGATGAATGACGAATCTAATGGAGCTCCCATGCATATGACAGGCTGTCGACAGTTCCATACTGTGACGCATTTACACCGGATACATGATTATCCATGGTTTCCTTCACTTGCACGTATCTCGAATACTTTGTGACGTTGGAAAAATGACGGGTATATAAAGCCAAAGGATGATCTCTTATAGCACATACATTTATCATTTACATATATACATGTATCGAGTACGCCTTATAAGGACGGAATGGCCGCCTGAATTGTCATTCAGGTAAGGAATGTAAACTTAGGGATTTTCGTTCGGAAAATTCGCACGTTTATCTTCGGAAAAGAGCGAGCGCAAAATTAGTGCTTTCTTTGCCTCTTTTTGCTCCCGCAATTTTCGAACTGAATTATATGCCAAATAATATCTTATGATCAGAGATATCAATTACAAAAAATTTTTAAGTTGAGCCGAAAATTGAAGAGATATAGGAGGCTAAAAGTAGTTAAAGTTCATTAAAGCGTTTTCAGCCCAAAAGCTTTGAAGCACGAATTATTATGTCGTTTAATAATTTAAAACTTCGTGACCGGAGATTTTACTGGCTGCTGACAACGAATTTGAAGTCAGATTTTCAGTAAAAAATGGGCGTTTTTCACAGTCACTCTTTAATAGCCAAATTCGCGTCACAAAATTGAACATGTTGGATAAAATAATGGCGTCATTTGGAGTTTCGTTTCCAGAGCATGCTAACAATATTCTCTCGCCAAATTAAATCGCGATAATCGAACTGTGTCAAAATGCGAGAAATAATTCGAAGATTATATTTGGTCGATTTTGAATAATAATTGAATTTTTTGAAATCATACGGATAATAATAAATTCTTACTTTGTACCGATTGATATATTCTCAATAATCGCAACAATTCCACGTGTCGACAATAATTGAAGAGAATAGATTTCGCGCTTTAGGATAAGGTAATAATGTATTGTGTATCCGCACCAAGTCATCATGTGGAAGGCGATACTGTTGTGCGTGTTCGCGGGTTTGGTGGTCGCCCAGAAGACCACTTACTACGACTACAAAGTCTACAAGTTTGTGCCGTGTAACTGGAAGGAGGTCGAAGCAGTGGAGGTGCTTTATGATACCGATGGGGTGAGTGACTATCTCCATATTGCGAACAGTGGGCAGAAAATTATTGAACGAAACGTTATTACGAGTGTATTCAATAACATGTAACGTTTCCCACCAATTTTAACATTGCACCGAAATGATTACGTATAATTTCGATACTATGATATTTCGGAGACCCGAAACGTGGCTGTTTCTTAAAACTTGAATGTTTCTGGACATTAAAGTTCCGACGTTTATAATCCTGAAATTTCAATGCTCCACTAATTAACCCTGAGACTCGGTTTTTTTTTTATCTTAAATGTATGAATATTGAATGGAATGTCCCTTCGCAGTTCACCTTCTGGAAGCCGCCGAAAGCGCCGGGGATACCCGTGGAGGTTATGGTAGCTCCACATAAGCTGTCGGATTTTGAGGATTTAAGAATCTCAGCTAACTTAACAAACGTCAAAATCATCATCTCGGACGTCCAGGAACTGATCGACATGTCGACGCCTCAGAACCAGTCGAGCTCCTTCGACTTCATCAGCTATCATACCCTCGAAGAGATTTACAAGAACATGGACGACCTGGCCGATAAATATCCCGACAAGGTGCAGGTTATTGAGGCAGGTACGACATACGAAAACCGGAAGATCAAGGGAATGAAGATATCCTTCAAGCCGTACAACCCCGGTGTGTTTATTGAGGGTGGCATTTATGCCAGGGAATGGATTACGTCAGCCCTCGTCATGTACATGGCGCATCAAATTCTGACCAGTGTGGATCCGGATATCAGAGACATGGCCGAGAGCTACGACTGGTACATCTTCCCCTCGTTCAACCCAGACGGATACGTGTATACGCATACCACGGTGGGCGCATGTTCTCTCGTTATTTTGAATTCCGGGAAAGAAGGGAATATGTTCTAAGAAGAAATAATTACCATGGTTGCATCGTTATGCGTCATATTTTACGATATCTCGAAATATTTGACGATGGAACGTAATCTTGTTGCTTCTAATGCGTGATTCGTATTTAATAAATCGCTTCTGCGATTAATAAAACACTCATCGACTCTTTTCACTAGAGCTAGGGTGAAATCGATATTTGCTGTCTTCGGTAGAAATCATCATCATCATAAATTGTAGCATATGTGTCGAATTTCTTGCAGAAGCGATTATAGAGGAAGTATAACGTACTTCCGAGATAATAACGAGACAATCACCGCGTCGTTGTTCCTTTGTGAATTGTTAAATATTTTACGAAGAAAAGTTATCTTTTTGCCTCTAATTCGTACTTAATTATGACGAATCGCGTTTTCACATTTAATAGATAGCTTGTCTTATCACGAGAGCTGGATTGAAGTTAACATTTGTAATCTTCCTTTGATATGACTTATAAATTGTATTATTTGTATACGAGTCAAATTCCTTGCAGGATCGAATGTGGATGAAGACCCTTAGGCCGTATAATATTTGTCTGGGTAGTAACCCAAACAGAAATTGGAGCTACACATGGAACTACAGATGTGAGTACTATGATATCAGATGAATTTGAATTATCAGTTGACAATTAATCAATGTAGTCGCTACCGATGCCACATATTGAATGAAAATTTCTCGTGCATTTCCCTTAAATGTCGTTTAAAACTATGCACTATATTGCGTAAAAATGGAGATTTTAATTAGTTGCGGCGTGCAGCGACAATTTTATATTTTAAAATATTACGGGCCTTTAGAGACAAAACACGGATATCTTATTACCATTGTATCATTAATATTACCTTTATAATATTAATATGTTTGTGGGGGAATAAAATGTCCAACATGTTAAACGCATGTACCAGATATTTTTCCGACTAAACGTACGCGGCGGATCAAATTTCTATGTTTAGACTGGCCGTAAGTCCTAGTATTTTATTATACATTAATAAATAAATTAATTAACTCTTCCTATTAAATGTTGTGAAAAATATTGCCTCCCCCTCATCACTTTCCGGGCGGAACGCTTTACTGTATGCAACAACAGTATATTCTTCGCAATATTAGTGTTTATAAACTCGTAAGGGATCCCTGAAAAAGAGATGACTCGTAAGATGTATATATACGAGAGAGATAACATATTCTTCCGCTCCGTGTTCAATACGTAAATGAGAATGTTCTTTCTTGGTTTTATCCTTTCACAAGCATATTAATATTATAAAGGTAATATTAATATTACAGAAAAAAATAATATTGATATTATAAAATATTAAACATCCGCGCTTTGTTCCCGTAATATTTTCGATATTTGGCCTTAACCAGGACGGATTATTATTTATTTTTTATATTTTAATTTTTATAAATTAATTTCTATTAATGTGGGATTTTTCTTAACATTACCGTATCTTAGTCCAGTCTCCGAACCGATGCACCGATACATTTCCCGGAATTCATCCGTTCTCTGAAGTGGAAACTAGCAGCATGGCTTCATACATCTTCACGATCCGCAACAAATTCTTTGCTTACTTCTCGTTCCAGACTTATTCGGGAAGTTTGATTTACAATCAAGGCGAGATAAATGAAACATATTACTTGGTAAGAAATGCCGAAAATGAACTATATGATAACGAAATTCTTCCAATTCGAAGGATACACATCCTTCGAGACAACAAAACAATTATCGCTACTATCGCTGTTCGAGATAACCTAGATTATCATCAATATGAAACCGATAAATATGAAATGTGCGACTCTGCTTTACATACTAGTCAATTGGTACCTAATTTGATATGATCATCCGATTTCTTGATGAAGAAACAATGTCAATACTGTGTCTTATCTTTTCGTTCCTTTTCTCTTGAATTTAAAAATATATACCGCGAATAAGTTAATCCTTCGATCGCACATTTCTAAAAAGTTACTCGCATCGCAAACAGGATCATATTGAACTTATACTATTTCTAAATTTCATATCTGAAAAACTAAAAGGAAAGAGATTGACAAAATTCTAGAATAAAGGGAGACTTTAATATTCGATCATGCATTCATAGGAAATCAAGTTTTAAGGTAATGAAAAAAGTTCGGATTTAGAGTGGTCTCACGAATACTAATATTTTATTTTAAAAATCGTAATGCTTCTTTTTATTGTTTTGATTTTCAACAATAAGATAGCGAAGTTGAAAGATGGTTCCAACAGAAAAAAATGTAACTCTAGTGTGTGTTTGAAAAACATTTTTCTTTTACCGAAACTACTGGAAAAGAGGGTATTTCCAAGTGTAGAAAACAGATGCTTTTTTGGAGGGAAAAATATTTTTGTTGTGAAAACATCAAAAATAGCTTTTCTTTTTATTTGCAAAATGGTAACACAGCGTTATTCAAACAAAAAAAATGAATGAGTTAGGATCACGCTTTGCATAACGTGCTCGCATAAATTCATTTGACCTTATATAATGTTCCTATGACTCTTAGGAGGAGTATAGAGCCTCTTCAAAGCTTTGCCAACGGACTCAGCTTCTACCCAGCGTCTTCAACTCGATCCAGGTTTTGCCTTGCTTTTCGGCTTCCTTTAGAATTGAATTAAATTGATTTGACGTATCATATCTTAGGTCGTTGATTATACTTATTGTTATTGTTCCGCAATTCTTAGCGTGGCGTTAATGATTTCAGTCTGCAATCGCTCTAGCTGGGGGCCACGCCATGATGGAGAGATACAGTTTTAAGAATTGGTCCTGGGTATACGGCTATCGTGCGAGTAAGCATTCAAAATACATTTCATTCCAAATTTATCTTCCATACCTAGGAACTTTTATCGTTCAATTCTTGACTGATAGCAACATTGGCTATTTTATTGTCACATTTAAATTTCTTCGGTTTTAACTCGAATCACTTTTATACTATATTCCCACTATGTACAGCCCCGTCTTTAACTGCGAAGCTTGAAGTATTAGGAAGTTAAATAATATGAAATTTCCTTTCAGATGTAACTACCGGAGATACTGTGAATTATATCAAGCACAAGTTTCAGAAGAACCTTGTTTTTACTTACCAATTAAGCGACGAGCGTGAGTACGGCTTCCTATACCCCCCCAAGGAAATCATTCCGATGGGAGAGGGAGTTTTGCACTCGGTAAAGGCTATGTTAAAAGTGGCGGAGTATTATAATCTCATACCAAGCGTAGAAGCGGACAGTGATAGTCTTGTACCACATTTGGTTACTACACAGTAAAAAACATTATGTATTTGTGTTCGATCTATGTTAAAATTTTTGTTATAATTTTTAACATATCTTAACACATTCGCAACCGGCGGTTTTGAGGCGAAACCCTTAACTGAGCATGTTAAGCAAGTATTGTTTAATATTTTGTACTTATAATTGAATGTGCACAACTCAAATTTATATAGCACTGTGTTCAGTATTCAAAAATATTCATAATAGTATGTTAATACCACTCGGATATATTCATATGCAATCGCTCGTTTTTACGATAAAGTGTCACTTATCGATTTAAATACGGTCGGTCATTCATGCTTTCGTTATCTAAATTAACAGTTTTCGCGGACTAAAAAAAGAGTGAAATATTTTTGTAAGGATACAATTTAACTATGCATTAGTTTTTTAACTCCTAAGAAGATGCACGAGAAGGCAATTAGGCGTCTCTTATTTTTTGCTGTCCTACAATATATTAAAAGTTTACAAAAATTACTTAGAAACTTTCCTAGATCTTCCTTTGGTAGTATTAATGTTGAAATATTAAGGAAATACAGGTACTATATTAGTTACATTATGTGAATGTATATACATATACATATATACATATAAATAAAATACTAAAATATTGATTTTCCAAAACTGAAATTAACTCTCGTGTTCCCATTCCGATACTTATCTATAGTTTTGATGAACACAGTTTCGTAGTACTTTACTGTACCGCTAATTTCTTAGCCATTGCTTTCAATTCCTTTTTCGCAATTTTGCCAGATCCTGTATAAGGGAAAGTGTCCAAGAACACTACTCCGGCACGAAGTTTAAAGTGATCCATCATATTATTCGCCACGAAGTTGATTATTTCTTTTTCCGTTACCTGCAATGAACACAATATGATTGTTGCGGCGCAGCACGTTTCATTAAAACGAATATATAACAAGAGTTTGTGTATCATATATTCTTCAAAAATAATTTTCTGGAAACTTGTTGAGAAATGTTGCTGATACCTCAGCGCCAGGCTTCTTAGTGGCGTAAGCTATAGGGTGTTCGTCATCTGTCGGATGAGGCACCGCCACAACCGCAACTTCTAATATTGCTGGGTGCGTCAGCAGAACGGTTTCGACTTCTGCAGGTGAGATTTGATGTCCTCTATACTTGATGAGATCTTTTAGTCTGTCGATCACGAATAATTCTCCGTCCTCGTCAATGTAGCAGAGATCACCTGAATGCAGCCATCCTGCAAGAAACTCGAGTTTATTTTCAATATTCTGTGAGAGTTCATTTGCAATAAAAACTATCTATTAATTAAGACAGGCAATCCTTTGACATCTGTGATTTGATCCGAAGAAGTGGAACTCTATTACCTTCCTCGTCAATCGTACTTCTTGTCGCTTCGGGATTTCTGTAATAGCCATTCATTATGTTGTTTGATTTTAACCACGCCTCTCCCATCTGATTCGGACCGAGTGCTTTTCCGCTGTTCGAATCCGCAATCTTCAGTTGCACATTTAGCACTGGTATTCCGCAAGAACCGGCCTTGTGATACGAGTTTTGACATGTTGCTATTCCGCCTATTTCTGTCATTCCTGAAACCGCAATGCAAAAAATCAAATCTTTTGAAACAAGTCATCGAATTTATGAATATGACACCTACCGTAACCTTGCAGAATTTCGACGTGTGGTAATATGTGTTTTAAGTCCCTCTGCGTTTCCTGATGAAGAATGGCACCACCGCAGAAGATCATTTTAAGAGAAAGTAAAGAGTAATTTTTCACGTAGCCAGCTTTGATAAGCCTGTTCGTCATGCTGGTGCCTATAAATAGCCACGTCACCTGAACGGTGCCGAAAAAAATGCAAATTATGTAATTTACATAATTAGCGTGTGTGCGATGAAATACGTGGCATGAGGATGTTCGACACGAATCGCAGTTATATATCACATAATATCAAATTATCAATATGCAAACAGAAATAATGTCTTGTTAACAGATGCATGCTAAACAGCTACATGAAAAACTGCCTTCAGCGGCGATTTAATTGAGTCGCTGGAACACATATCCTACGAATTTATATATTAATCACTAAGTTAATTCACTTAGTTAAATCACTTAGTTTAATAACATATAAGTTGCATAATGTCGAGAAGGTTCCATGTTGCGGAAAAGTGATATGCGCAAAAGAGACACGTGTATACACTGAAAGCGGTGTTTAGTTGGATCTACATCGAGAAAAGAATTTATTTGTAGAATATAAAGTTTATTTCTTTGAAATAAGGTTTTTTTCTTCTGTGAAAGAAATCTTACATGTCACAGATAAATTAAAAACAATTTTTATTCTCAATGTACCTGACAATGAACAACCAAACTCGTTATGGTTGAGGGAAACAAAATTTCTAATTCTCATGAATCAAATTTCTTTCTTATAGCCAAAAAGTTTCTTTTCTTCAACCAAAACGCGTTAGCTTGTCAGGTAGATCCAAGCAAACTTTTCAGTGTAAGACAAACAGATTTATTCGTAAAATTTGCCAACAGATCGTCCAAACATTCTCGAATTGTCCTTACCTTGTACTTCTCGATTAAAATGCACGTCATCTCTTCGTCGAATTCCGGGTAGATGATTATCTTGGCGCCCTGACTGATCGCTTTCAGGCTCAGAATCGTCCCGCTGATCCAATAAAGCGACGAGAACCAGAGCGACACCATTTCGTTCAAGTCTATGACGCTATCCGCGTTCATCGATAGCATAGCGTAATTTGACATCTCGACGCCCTTCGGCATCCCCGTGGTACCGGACGAGTGCAAAATGCAGACCGCCTTCTTCATATTGTCGTTCTCGACGTAACGGAAATGCGCTGCTTGCGCGTCGCTATAGCCGCTCAAAATGCTCGCGAACGAGATCGTCTTCGGGTGGCTACCGAAGACCACCACCTTAGGACTGCACTTCGTTTCATGTATCGCCTGCAGCACCACGTTCGTGGAATTCTCGTTGCAGAAGATTATCTTCGGCGTGGTTAATTGCAGCACGTGCAACGCGGTTGCTGAAACATCGACGAAACATCATCGAATGAATGAATGTTTTTTATTGCATTGTTGTTGGCATTGAATGTTTTTTTTTTCTTTTTTTGGCAAATTACATGAAAACCTACGCAAGTTCATTTCCTCATCCCATGGATTGAAAATAGCATTAACATAAGTCGCTGCCAGACATGGCACTAAGGCATTCACGTGATTGTGCGTGCACACGCTGACAACGTCATCCGGTTTAATTCCCTGTTCCTGCAGCCACAAGGCACACTTTGCAATTTTCTTCTGGAGTTCCTTGTACGTAACCGTTTCCTTCGTGCGTGCGTCAAACTGCAAAATTATTACCAGTTATGTCACAAAAGTCTCGAAATCACATTGGATGTTTGTTTCATTGCAGATATTCCAGTCGCGAAACTTCAGTCGGTAATATTAACACGATCCATTTGAATATTCTCTCCCTTTCTCTCTCTGTGTATTGTAGATTTTTTTTTGCAGTGATATGAGAATGCTAATTTATTACAGATTACCATAAATTAGAAAGCATAAATAAAAATATAAATTTGATTCGATAAGAAGTAACATTCACAAGCGACCTCGTAGCAATAAACAAGAAATTATTAACGCAAAGTCATTGCAATGATGTTCGCAATTATACTTCTTTAGATATTCATTTCTTATAGTTCTTACGTATCAAGTACTAGGAACAATTTTGTTTCTTGCTTATGAAAATTTCAGAGTAACATTTGTTTGGAAATATCGACATCTGCTCTCGTGTTACTTAATATCGTGTGTTTTTGTAATATTAGAACAAGATAAAAGAAATATTTGTAGAAACGTGAGTGACGCAATAAATTGGAGCGATATGTCGTATAACGATGATAGTGTTATTCACGCTCCGTCAATGGTACCGGATGTTTTTCCTTTTCTTTTTTTGAAAATTACGTGAAAACTTACGCAAGTTCATTTCCTAATTCCATGAGTTGAAAATAGTATTGAGCACATAAGCCGCTGTCAGACATGGCACGAAGGCATTCATGTGATTGTGCGTGCACATGCTGATAATGTCGTCCGGTTATCATTTTATCGGCGAAATTCAATCACTTGCAGCGCGCGAAACGTTACATTTACGGCGATATATTTACGAAATATTGACAAAACTAATTTCATCAAAGAATGTTTGGAAAATTACGCAGAGAACAACGGAGAATCTTACTGATGTATAATAAATAAATGTACAGTTATAAAAACAAATTAATCATATCTATTAATTAATCTTATGCAGTCCGCACAGTTAGTATTGATAAGATTTCTGTCGGAGTTTCATGGTATAATCAATGTTATAACTGCAAAACTTTTTACCTTATTAGTAAAAAGTGGCCTGATTTTTATGTAAAATGTCGAAAAGAAAATCTTCTTCATCTTCGGGAGATCAGGATTCACTTTTATATTTTCTTAGCTGTCATCGTTTCGGACGCACTTTGCATCTCTTAATCAATTATTCTATCTGAATTAATTCTATTATTAGAAACGTTGATTTCACAGTAATTTAATCTTCTATTAGAAATGTTGATTTCACAGTAATTTAATCTTCTATTATTAGAAACGTTGATTCCCCAATAATGTAATCTGTATCGCCGGAAGCTCAATAATGATGATAACAGCTGCAAGATATCCTTCGCTTTCACCGTAATATGCAGCCGTAATATACGAGAGGTGTTCAGAAAATAACAGGAATTTTTAAATTTCGCGGGTTTGGAGAGTCCGATCGTCAAAATTTTTTTTATTATGTTGGTATACATGTCCCTGAAGTATGATAAAATTTTCAGCTGTATTCATTGTTTACTTTGTCTGTGGCAGCCGCTAAGGTTAGACGTGTTTTTATAAGCTCGGCGATTTTCGTTCGCGAATGGAAGTTGCTCAGGAGTTACTAAATGAAGTCAACGACGATGCAGAATTACTGAAACATGTTATAACAGGTGACGAAACATAGGTTTACGGGTATGACGTCGAAACTAAGGCTCAATCGTTCCAGTGGAGGCATTCTGGCAACTTTCATTCGCGAACGAAAATCGCCGAGCTCGTAAAAACACGTCTAACCTTAGCGGCTGCCACAGACAAAGTAAACAATGAATACAGCTGAAAATTTTATCATACAGGGGCATGTATACCAACATAATAAAAAAAAAATTTTTGACGATCGGACTCTCCAAACCCGCGAAATTTAAAAATTCCCATTATTTTCTGATCACCCCTCGTATAATTGTGACCGTAGGCATAATGAAAAATATGCCTCTTGAAACATTTCAGCATTTCTTCACCAACACCGATCTCCGAAATCGTCGGAGATCGCGACAATTATAATAAGGAAAATGAGAGAGATTTTTGGTACCGGGGGAGAACTGGAATAGTGTTATTTTCTTTCTAACAATTGGCAGTATACTTTTGACTGAAACTTGGTTTTAATCATATATGTGCAAAACTCATATATGATTTTATATATTTACATATAATCGTGTATAATCACTTTTCCCGGATTGCCATCGTCCACTGCGTTTTGTCGAAATGTAATCTTTAACTCGGAGGATTAAAAATCTTCGTTCTTGTGTTTTCTCTCGTTAAAATTATTTTCTGTAGGGATTTTAATTTTTAATTTTCTAAAATATTGAAATCACACGTGGACCTTACTCCGCGTGAGGCGACGTTAACCTTGTAAGAATATAACAGTTGTGTACAGGACCGTCTGCAATAGCCGTAAAGTGTGCACTAAGCTAATTGGATTCATACATTGACTAATTGGATTCATACATTCTAAAAATAAATCGACTGTGCCTGGTTAATTAGCTTATTGCATACGTCTTACCGCATACTTTACGGCTATTGTAGATGGCCCACATTGCATCTAAACGTCGGCTCACCTGTGCAATTTTGTCGCTAAAGCCGTTAATTTTTTTCCAGACCATTTCCCCGATGCTTTTGTAAGTGCCTGAATATGGGCTCGTTGGCCCCTTATAAACATTGTTTTCCACCTCAAAGAGCGGCTGTTCATTCTGCAAACAAAAGAAAAAGGGCGATTAGTTTTTTAATGTGAAACATCTCAAACAGCACAATGTCCAAAATCGGGACATAAAGACGCCTTTTTCTTCTTCTTTCTTTGGCGCTGTGTAACTCTTTTGTCGGCCTCTTCTCTCTCTCTCTCTCTCTCTTTCTCTTACGTATATATGTAGTGCGCGTGCAGATTGTACACATGCATATCGGGACCTACACAGTTTAAACGCCGGTTCCGAACGGCTAATTGGAGGAAAGTTTTTCTTGTGGTTTGTCAGACCACCGAAGAGGAGTAACACGAGCGCGTGAAAAATTATCTGGTTCTGCCGGGGATCAAACCCGGGACCTTTAAAAGCATGATAGATCGGTGCGCTGTCTATCACGCCACGCTCGCGCTCTAAGGCGTTTTTAGATGTTTTAAAAATATCTCAAAGACGTCTTATATATCACGACATCTTAAACACGACTTCAAGACGTCTAAAAGACGTCTCGTGTCCTGACTTTGGACATTTGTGCCGTCTGAGATGTTTCCCACATTCTACATTTCAACGTCTTCGACATCTGCTCACGTCGCTTGCTAAAAATAGCTGTAGACTATCTCGCAGGTATATGTGTTAAAATATAAACGTTCTTAATTTTACCTTTGGTTTGTCTGCGTCCATTTCGTTATAGATGCACTTGGGTCCGTATCCCGATAAGCGTTCTCAATGAGGCACCAAACAGTGTATCTTTGTTCGATGATGTTACTCTGTTGAATAAAAGCTTTGAAAGCTGATCGAGCATATTAAACTTCGAGCAATCAAATCAATTACCTCTTTGCGAAGTATAGATGGAATAAAATAGGTCACAGATGAATTGATAGGTCAAGATGGATAGATTTGTGCATCTCGTTAAGTAAAATGTTCAAGCAAATCGAAGCTTTAGGGTAGCAGCTATGCGATATAATAACCTTAAGATTTACTAAGTTTGAGAGCGAGCAAGTAGTTTGGCATAGCAAGTAGCACACTGGTCTGCTACGCTATTAGCGGTCCCGAGTTTGATCCCGATAGAAGCCAAAAATATTTACGCTTGTGTTGTCTCTCCTCTCGGAAGGGGTAACGTCGAGAGTGTACCCTTGTCTCTAATAAAAACCTCTCTGAATAATGTGCTGTTCAGAACCGGCGATAAACTGTAGGTCCCATATGCCTGTGTATAATCAATGTTCACATCACAGGCAGAAAAGCCCGGGCAGCAGGACTGGGATAGATTTACTGAGTTGAATGACAATGGAATTTTCCAATCACGCGCAATGAATTTATATATCCGTGTATCATGATTGCCGATTATTACTCTGTGAACCGATAAGGATGCTCCAAAACAGCAAACATGATGCACGAATATGTCGGTTCAATGTGCATAATTGAAAATGTCACTAGGCGTAGTAAATGTTAAGGCTGTTATGCCGCTTAATGTATATATTTAAACTTCTTCGAATTGAGATAGTTCTAATAGAGACACAATGACCAATTGCTTCAATCAATTTTTATAAGAAAAAAAGGTCTGGTTATATTAATCAGAAAGGAAACAACCATTTTGATTGAAGAAAACAGAATTTCTGGTCATAAGAACCATATTTTGGGCCATAAGAACCAGAAATTCTGTTTCTTTCAATCAGAACGCATATGATTGTTCCCATTTTGGTCGATCACATTTTTCTTCCGTGTTTGACAATTCGGATATTGAAAAAATCTGAAGAGAAATAATCTTCATTGCGAACAAAACCAGGTTTGAATCTCTCGCATTACATCGCCTGATATTATGTAATTTTAGAAAGTCGTAAAAGTTCGAGGTTATAGACACGTATTCACGTGAGAATCGAATAAAAGTGCGAAACAAAAAAGCATAAAGAATATATGTAATCTTCGTGAATTATATCGCCATTAATAACTTCTGTTTAGATCAGTTTAATTTAATCTAACATACATTCATTCATAATTATTAATAATGAATTATTTTAAATTATTAAGTAGCTTTTCGGCATTCATTTAAAATATTTGCAGCAAATCCATATCTATTCACATATTTTGGCGCTACACAGCTCGAGTTCGAACCTAGGCCAACCACCTTTTCCTTTTACATATGTATGTGGTACGCAGCCAGATTGTAACATATCCATGTGGGACCTACAACAGTTTATATAAAACCGGTTCCGAACGGCAGTTGGAGAGAAGTTTTTTTGGCATGCGATTAAAAAACTTTTGGTGGTTTGTCGGACCACCGAAGAGGATCAACGAGGCATATGAAATATTTTTCTGATTCTGCCGGGGATCGAACCTTGAGACCTCTAAGTACAGTAGACTAGTGCGCTATCTCCCATACCACGCTAACGCTCCATATCTACATTGAAAGAAAAAATATCTACAAGATAAATAATTGGATGGCACTTTAATAATATATTTACTTGTATCGATATTGTATGTATATATATATCCGAGCATCGGCATTATCGTTTAAACAAACAAAAAATAATGAATTTCACATCAACTACCACATGATGTATCAAATATCAAATAAAGAAAAATTGCGCGCCTTTAACTCGAACAGTTCGAATATTTCGCGCTGTTCAAATCTTCATCTTCTCTCCGAGATGTGATTACGCAACCACTTGGCAATTTTGTCACACTATTCTTTATTATGGCATAATCATTTATAATGATGTCCTTTTTCTTTTTTTTTAATATCAATTATTCTTAGAGCATTAAGGCACGCTCGCGCTTATAATTTATAATAACTTCTTTTAGAGTCCATTCGGAGTCTGAGGGATTAGAAATGTTGCATCTTCAAGCCCGTATAATGCTTCTCGAATTGTCGATTATCTGAATATTCGTATATGAGCACCGCTTATTCATTGAGCATAAATATTCTACGCGTTTGTGTCGTTAAATAAAACACTATAAATATTTCTGAACACTGTTTGTTCTCCCGATGCTGTCAAACGGCATAAAGTAACGGAGTTAAAATATCGGACCTAGAGTAAATATATATTCACTTGTGCAGAGTTGGGACTCACATATAGATAATATCATTGATCGCGACTAAATCTTAATTGATTTGTAGTACCTGGTGCGAACGAGAGAATTTTTCAGGATTCGAGCAGGATTTTTCGCGATTTGCGACGAAATGAGAGATTTTCGCGAAGAGTAATGCCCGAGCTGCGCACTACTTGGCGGTCACTTTACGACTAACACGCAAGAGTTAGTCCAGTCGAAGAAAAAGTATGGACTGCCGCCTCTAACTCGTCCGTTATTATTTAAACGGTTTTTACATTCGATATCTACAGTTAGCAGTTTCCCTCTCTCCGATCTTGACTCTTCGGATTATATGACCCCTTAATGCGAGACGATCCCTACTGTCATCGCGTCCTCGACAAAGACTTTGGGATTTTATCTCTACTTTCGGCTTTTTGAAGAAGAAATTTTCGACCGGATATTTATGTCCATATGGACAAAAATGCGAAGAAATTATTGGTATACTATTGAAGAAATATATTTTTTTTCCCGTACGGATGATATGTACTTGTAAAAATTTACTAAGGTAACTGCCGTTGGTTAACGTTTCACTATGTTGTTAATCGTAACGCGAGTTACTTTCCATGTTGTATTTCGTCTGTAATTCTCGTCCGAGTCATAGGATTAAAGGATTCAGCTTTAATGCACAGTCTCGTGAAAGTTCCTTTTCCTTCTCTCAGTCAAAGTTTTCTCATAGTTGATCGTCGCTCTCAACATCACCATAATCTTATCTGATGTCGAAGACTTTCTTAAAATTTTCATGTATTTCATTGGTCACAATGATATTTCAGAACAATGACTGAAATCGATCATGATTTTATTCATTCATGTCCTTGAAAACAATCGTGATTTTATTAATTCATGTCCTTACAAATTTAATAACATCGCGCGAAGTTGCGTGCTTTGAAGCAGTTTTTTGTACACGTAACCCTTACTCTGTTATTACGTGACAAAAGTACAGTATGCGTGTTTCGATGACGTATCTACATGAATTATATAACAATATAAAACCAAGTGACTTTAAATGCGAACACAAATATATTGCTGAATGTTAATAAAAGGTTTCTCTCGCGGTTAAAAGTGCGCATGGAATGTTATTTAACGTCACCTTACTACTTAGGAAAAATGATGCAATAATATAACTCGAATATTTCAATGTTATTGATAAATTTTCCATGATATTACATGCTATGTGGATAATTAAAAAATTGGTCTCGCGCCTCTGAATACTCCGGTCCTGTTTATTCTATACGTCATGTAAATTACTATCTACTACTACTATTTCATTGATTCCCAGTTGTAGCATTGATTTCCTATTGTCAGCACGGAGTAAAGATCAAAGTGAAAATTATATAGCAAAAGTTCCAAGTCACGAATGTCACATAAACTGAGCAATTATATAACGATGGCTGTATGAAATGATAAAGAATTCATTGTATGTGTTAGTTTACTTAGAAACGTTCTGTCTATAGACATGACTTGATCGATACTGTGACGTATTATTTTGTCGGGCTATTCGACTAATACTATGATATCCATATAATTATTCGAATAATTATTGAGCATATGTAAATCGCGCAGTTACGCAATGCAAGCGATCTGGCGAGTTGTAGCTATTTGCTGAATACCGCACGTTAGTTTTGCTTATTGGACTATGACATTCATTACATTACTTCTCATTACGAAATATTTTCACTCCACACATGCGGTTTGCATTCACGTTTTATCTGATATTCGCTCTAATAGATGCTTCCAATAGCTTTATCTCAAGGTGTATCGACTGAATCTTAACTCAGAGAAACTATGTCATTGAAAGGAACTAGATCTTTGAAATAAGACCGATTGTTGGATTTCTTATAAGGCAATCTTTCAGTAGTGTGTTTGTTCAACTTAGAAATACTGACTGAAGTGTGTTTTTGGCAGCTGAAAAACGAAAGAGGCGTATGATCGAATTTTTCGATATATTTCGTAAAACAAAAATTTCGCTATATCAACATTTTATGTTACAAATATGATGAATTTCTTGTGAGATGTTTAGGAAATTTTACAGAATGCGAAAGTTTCCATTCATTAATATGGAAAATTGCTTGATAAATATTTATAATATATCATTGATTAATCAAAAATTTTACATGCCAAATTACTGCTTGATTTTTAATATGATAAATCGGGCACGAATTTTTACACTCGACAAGTAAAACAGAGAGTCTTATACTAAGACGACAATGATTGCTCAAATCCAAACAGTTATTTAGGTTCAGCTGTACCCAAGATTGTTAATATCGAATAAATAATAACTTGCAATTGGTTTCAGCTCTTGCGTATTACACTTCATTTACTCAAACGCCAATCTCTTCGTCCAAGCGATCGGAAGTTATATTATCGTATATTACGCGAGCACATGATCGAGTACGAAGCGTTTAGCCAATTCTCGCAGTTCTTTCCTCGCGATCGGTGTCCGTGTCCGTGAGCAGGAGATCGTCTAAGCACACCACCGCGAAGATGCTTGTGATCCTCCAGGTTGTCCGCCACTAATCTAATCAATTCTTTCCCCGTTACCTATAAAGTTCCACAATTCAGTCTGATGAATTTAAAGAATTTAACTCCTGACCATAATTTTTTATGACTCATGTTTTTACGTATGCACGGAAAAATAATCTCAGTTTATGTAACTGAATAGAAGCGAAAGGATGACTAGGTCCGGATCTTATATATAGAACCGTCTTAAATTTATCTTCAGATTTATCTTCAGATTCGTAGCAAGTGAAATGAACCGTAGAGCATCTGAAGATAAACTCAAACATAATATTTGACTACTGGCCTAGATAATTCGGTGACGAGAAACGATATATCTTTGTTCAATCATTTGTATATTCAGTTGTATCAAGAGTTATCGGTTGAAGATAACCGAAAACTGACTAAATATGTACTTCCTACAGGAATTTTTCTGTTCTTAGATAAAGAAAAAGATTTTCTAGCAAATTTTATGATGTCGCAACATAATCTGTTAGTCACTACATGGATAGCAAAACGATTTATTAAGAATATTAATTGCCATTCGCTGAATTATTTTGCTAAATCTACAAATTGTTTTGCTACAAAACAAATTGGTAAATATATAGAAAACGCTATTTTCTTTTTACAGCAAATTAACGCGTCTTAAGGATAAATTCACTCAGCAAAATTTTTCTATTCTGATAACAAAATTGTTTCTGCTCTAATTACAAGTAATTCGCTCATTTGTTTCTGCTCTAATTAAACAAGTAATTCGCTAATTGGGTTATGTTAACTAAATTTTACCACTGTCGCAGCAAACATGGAGAAAATATTTTGCTGATTGTTTGTTACTATAGCAACAGCAGAAAGATTTGTTAAGAGTATTAATTGCTAATTGAAATGCTAAAAGAAAAAAATATTGTTCTCCGTGAATATGGAATAGTAACGATGATTTTGCTACAATAGCAATATTATTTTTCTCCGTGTACAAGCGAGTTTTTAGTACAACGGAAATCCAGTTTTGTTGTTACCGGAATTTCTTTTCTGACTTATATCCGTCAAACTTGGTTATCTTCCCGATAGTCATATCAATCATCCCGATAGTCATAATCAATAAGTCTAAGAGATGGCGTCATCAGTCGCGAGCGTTAAATTTTTCATCTCTCTTATCTTCGCTTACGCGTCAGGCAAAGTGTCTTTACGGTCTTTCTACCTGAAAATAAAAATACATCCGAATATCGTCACACGCACCTCCTTGCCGGGAACTTTTGCCACGAAAGACAACGGATGCTCGTCGTCGATCGTCGTATCACTGTGCAGACGCACCACAGCAACTTAGCGCACTGCCGGATGACTCTGCAGCACGTTCTCGATCTCGGTAGGGAACACGAAACACCCCCGGACTTTAATGACTTCTTTGATGCGGTCACACACGTAGAGCTTCACCGTCCGAGTCGTAGTAACCGAGATCGCCACTGTGTATCCATCCTGAAAAGCAAATGAAACACATACATCAATACATTAAATATCGTGTTGTTTATAAATAAATGAGGCTAACAATATCAGGCCGGTATGTCACATATATATATTATTTTAGGAGATTCATCGTTAATAATAATAAATAATAACAATAAAATAGTTAATATATAGAGACAAACTTGATGACAAAATTGAAGAAAGAAATCGCATAGCTCCACGGAGAATGTGAATGAAACCAACTGATGGTACGCGATCTATTAACATATTGCCGATTTTCGATGAATATTCTTGTCAGATTGAAAAATATAAAAACATATAATTTTTTGTATCTCATCTAGTCCCTCTACTTTCGGATATACCCGCTTTAGAGACAATGGCCGGACAAAATGAGCGGATTTGCTTTTGACATGTTAATCCGGTTCGAGCGAGACATATTGCTGTTGTAACGACGCGCGATTACACGGAAAACATACTGTCCTCGTTTAAAGTCTGCCTCGTGGCTCGAGGATTGTTGTAATATCCCGTCATCATGCACGGCGACTTCCATAGGAGCTCGCCGATTTTATAAGGATCCAAAGGTCGCCCGGTGTCGACTGCGATCACTTTCAGCCTTGCCATTCCGTAGTATATAGCCGCTGAAGCCTATTTTGTCGCCTTATTTTTGCAGAGTACAAACATCGCCGACCTTGCTCTATGGTCACTGGCAATAAAAGTCGGAATACGGAATCACAGTCGTCGTGCAAAAAATATTTTATATTTAAATAAATAAATATTATCATATTTAATATTTTCGATTATTTACGAGGTAAACACTAGACTAATATTTTTTCTACGTTTATACAAAAATTGCAAGGATTGGAGGGCGACATGTTTGGTAATGTCGTTGTATCGTCAATAATTCAAGGTCAATTTCATTTTTTCTTAAATGGAATTATATAGTTTTTTTTTTTTAATACAAATTGATTTTTCTGTTCATTCAGCGCGCAATAAAATATTAGAGATTATCGGAAAGTGAATATTTGGTGAGATTATCGGAAAGTGAATATCGGAAAGTGAATACTTGGTAACGTATTTTATTTCTTATTTTGACAACTTTTCTTTTTTTTTTCTCTGAACAAAAATATGTTTCTCTCTACAACTTTTGTCTGAAACATTTCTTTCTATTTTGTTTTATTTTTCTTACATTAAAATGTTTCAATTGAAATGCTCCATCCTGTATAATTCGTATATTTAGATTCAGAAAATATTCTTCATATTTGTTTGTTGACCTTCGCACTTTGGTCGCAGATAATATTATACGCGCCATGCGTATTCACTTATCGTAGATGTATAAAACTTTCACATGCGGCAAGGCCTTGATCACCGCTTCTTGTAAGTGTGGTCTCATGGACGCGCCGCCTGTGATTAATTTTTTCAGTGAAGGCAATCGATATTTATGAAAAAATCCGTGTTAGCATGCCCACAGTCAGCGAGGTTTGCAACAATATCCATGATACCTACAATCGATAGGTCCATTTTCTCTTTTTTATAAATATTTTTGTTTATCTTTGATCTCGTTCATCGGTTATGATAGAAGCCAAGACAGTGCATGAAACGTCTGATATCACAACTGCAAGGTTCAGCTCAAAGAGAGAAACTTAGTAATACCTTTATTACACTCCTATATAAAAATGTAATAAAAAGCCAATATTTACGCCATGGTAGCGGTCATATAATTTTGTTCCTAGAAGCGAAATGCGAGACGCCGCATATATGCGCGGTGGTGGTAGCGAACGTGTTAACTTAATTTCGTTCAAAATTGACACTTAGTATTTAAATAGTTAAATAATGTTAAGTAAGAAATTTCGTTTTTCAATAAATAATAAACTTATGAAAGAGCTCCTTAATATCACCATGAAAAATCCGGCGCTCTTACTGATTCGAAAAAAATTGTCACTACATATCCCACTGTGGTTCCCTACATGAATAGGTTATCCGTGCCACCGGTCGGGATGAAATACGGAAGGATATGAAATTCTTTTTTCTGTGCATGCTAGAAGGTCTTAGCAAGTCTTTTTTAATCTTACGTTGTGAAAATAGCTAATAGTTTTTTTTTTAATACAATAGTAACTACTTAATTATACATAAATTATGCGTGGACAAGTTACATGCATAATTTTGTATGGCGATATATATGATCATGTATGAAAAATTTCTCAACTTTTAACGGCTCTAATTATAACAGTTTCAATTTTATGTATGCACGTGTGAAAAATTGTAAAAAGTTTCAATTTAAGGATCACGCACGTTATACTTCTCGATCATTTGGCACACCAGTTTTTCGCTATATTCCGGACAGATGATCCATGTCTTGCGAAAGTAGATTGATCGGAGCGGCAGAACTGCGCCGGAGATCCAACGGAAGCTGCTAAATCACATTACCATCTTGTCATCTTTCCCGGCGAAGGAGTCATCGTGCAGCATATTGTTAATTAGCGTGAAGTGCGAGAGCATCGTTCCTTTGCACAGTCCAGTGGTACCGGACGAGCAGACGATCATCCCGATCTCGTCGGGACTAGCGATCGGTCTGCAACGGAATTGGTTGACCGCGTCGGTTTCCTGGTCACTGATGACCTTGCTGAAGTTCTCGTATCCGGACGTTTCGCCGAAAGTCACCAATTTGACCGCCAGGTTTCCCTCCGTCGCGGCATGTGCCAGGGTGTCCGTCATATCGACATTAGAGAATATGATTTTCAGCTTTGCCAGAGAAATGAAGTATCCGCTGTCGTCTGCAGAATCACCGGACAAGCGCGAAAACGATGACATCAAATTGGACTGTTATTTAAGGCTCCTGTTTTCTCGTCATAACCACCTTGATTAATGGTGTCAGAAACGAAAAAACCAAAATTTTTGCGAAATACGTCGAAATAAAATTGAAATAAAAGAATGTGTTTATAAAATAATATTTGTTATCGATTGAGTACATTTCTAAGATACCCCGAAAATTTTCCTTTTGATTTAGGAATCAATAAAAATAGCCGTAAAATTCATGTGACAATGTCATGAGGAAAGATAAGCTAAGAAGCAATTTATATATATATATAACAAAAATTTCGGTTTCCATACGGTTTCCGGTAATATATCACAGTTTTAGGATATCCAAAAAAGTTAAGAGCAGAAGAAATAGTGAAGAAATGTCATCTATCAACGAAGTGATATTATTTTTTATAATATATTATTGTATATATTTTATTTTTGTCGTTATATATATATATATAGATATATCTAACGACATATATATTAGTTATTTCAGTTATAACATATTATAGTTATTTCAGAGTCGAGATCGAACATAAAAGAAAGGAATAGCCGAGGAGATGTCATTACTTCTTTTCCCGGTATTTTCTGGACGAACGCAATCGGATGATGGCCGTCAAAAGAATGTGGCAGAGGGATTACAGCGTTATCATATACAGATGTATGGCTCTGCAANTGTTCCGGTCTGGCTCTGATTACAACGTAGGATAATTGATATATGCGATTTCATTCTTTCGCGTAAGTCTTCGCTATGTTACGAAGTGCCTTCCGATCGATTTTTCCGTTGGAAGTATGCGGTATATCTTTTACGAACACCACACCACCGCGTAGTTTCTTATAATCTTCCACGTTCTTGGCTACCAATTGTTCCAGCTCCTCTTCTGTCACCTGAAAAAAATATAGAATGTTATTTCAGAGTCGAGATCGAACATAAAAGAAAGGAATAGCCGAGGAGATGTCATTACTTCTTTTCCCGGTATTTTCTGGACGAACGCAATCGGATGATGGCCGTCAAAAGAATGTGGCAGAGGGATTACAGCGTTATCATATACAGATGTATGGCTCTGCAACAAGGATTCGATTTCCCCCGGAGAAACGTGATGACCCTTGAATTTGATAAGTTCCTTAATTCGATCGACGACGAAGATATCGCCGTCCTCGTCGTAGTAGCCTATGTCTCCGGTATGGAACCATCCTGACAAGCATCAGTTCGCCATAAGTGTGTTTACGTATACATATACATTTATTTGTTCTTAAGATGATCATATCTCCCATATATGTATCTTAAACATAATTTATATATATATTAATAATTAATAATCCGAAAAAAGTGATTGTACATGAATTTTGAAGATGAATTTTGTCTTTATATGCCTACATATATTTATTTATGTAGAAATGTAGAAATAACATTAATAGGGATAGAAATAAAAATGACATATAATTATATATAATTTTGTATTATTTTACGTAAACATTTTTTCCCGAGAACTCAAAATTTCGCCTGGTTGTTTGCAAAATAGTAGAAGACTTTTTTGTTTACATTGATCTAAACTAAAGCATGTAACGGGTGTTCTACTTAATGACAGACACTTTATGCAGTTTTAAAGTGTATAGTTTGAAGGTATATACTTTCACAATATGCATAAAAGTATACACGTTAGACGAATCCGTCCAATCGCTAATATAACAATTTGTTTCTAAGAGAGTTGAGAAATATTTGTTCTTCAATACGTTCCGTATACCATATACACTGTTCCATATGTATTTTCTAGTTTTTATACATGCTGAACTCAATCTCCATGCTAAATGATATTTTCATCATTAAGAAATGATGTACAATAAAATAATTTATCTTATCACTCATTCTATTAGTAGTATTTTATCATGTTTGAAGAACTTTTATAGGATGGGTTAAATTAGTTATTATTCTTTGAGACATTTTAGAAATACCCGACTATAAAATCATCTCATGAAAATTTATGGGTCTTTATCTTATGTTTCAATTTAGAGATGGCTTAACATGCCTTATTAGTGGGGGTATACATTAAGCCTCTCTAACGTTGTATCCAAGACGAATTTTTTCTTATTTACGAAATATATTTAAGATCAATGTGCATTTAATGAATCAGCTGGACAACTGTGCTACTTTTAAAATAAATTATTATTATTATCTGTTATAACTGTGAAAAGATTTAAGAGTTTGAATAAAAAATTGCTCAACTAGGCCCGCCCTAGCCTACACGCGGTGTTGTCATAAATATTCAATTATTATGCTATATTATTGTAAATTATGTAAATTATTAGAAATTTGAATAATGAAAATAGTAGAGCTAAGACAAAACGGGTAACATTTTGTGAAGATTGCTCCTACAAACCGTATCTGTATATACAAGGTGGGCCATTTTAATCGACCCAGTCGAATATTTCGAAAACCAAGCCCGGGAGAGAAAAATTTTTCAGACAAAAGTTGTTTGGTTTCGAGGGGACCATAAGACGGTACCATTGGTTTGACCTTGAAGAATTATTTGAAAGTCACATGAAGGTCACCTCAATTTTTTTAAATGTCATCCTCTATTTTTTATTACATATTCTTGTAGCTGACCTCGAGAGCTTTCCAAAACACTGTAATGAAATGTTTCTTCATTGAGTACTTTTCGAGTTATAAAGCTCCAAAGTTGCAATTTGAAAATGCATGATGTGCTCTTTGACGTCCTAAACGGCCTTGGCGAGCTCTTAGTTCGAGGTCCCGGATTGTAATATGATTCAGATGTTGTTCTCTTTCGCGGTAACGATTCCGGTAAACTCGCGAAGCTTCATGATAATTTAGTTCACATTCTCCGAGAACAAGGAGAATATCAACAATCTCTGAGGGACGATAATCAGCCATGGGTATTGTTGGCAGACGTAAGCCTCTGATTGTGAGTAATAAAGTTTGATACTCCGATCAACAGTGGAAGAGATTTCCGTAATCAATTGATACCTAAATATCCAATTGTATCTACAGACTATTAATTCCTATTAATTCCTATTGCAATTTTGGAGCTTTATAACTCGAAAAGTACTCAATGAAGAAACATTTCATTATAGTGTTTTGGAAAGCTCTCGAGGTCAGCTACAAGAATATGTAATAAAAAATAAAGGATGATATTTAAAAAAATTGAGGTGACCTTCATGTGACTTTCAAATAATTCTTCAAGGTCAAACCAATGGTACCGTCTTATGGTCCCCTCGAAACCAAACAACTTTTATCTGAAAAATGTTTCTCTCCCGGGCTTGGTTTTCGAAATATTCGACTGGGTCGATTAAAATGGCCCACCTTGTACATAGATTGTTTCAATAAAATGTATTGTATCATTCGATTATATACTCTAAATGTTCGGAAAAGTTATATTTCATTTTTATATAATAAGCTATAGCTTCTTCAGTGTATGTTCTGTTTTACTCAACAATATCTTATTTATTATTTTTTCAAATTTTATGGCTTTTTGAAATAAATTATTTGTTTTGTCCTGCAATACATTTTAAACTTTGAACAAACAATTTTCACAATGAACGACTGTTCAATTCACAAAAAATTGCAAACCAAATAATTAGAACACATTTATCAAGCTCCACATCGTGTATATACGGCGTGAATTGAAAGTCGCGTAAAAATAGTCCACTACGGAACGTGTTAAGAAACTTTATAAACGTTTTTGATATAGATTAGAGTCGAGTAAGATCAGTTAGAGATCCTTGATACTAACCATCCTTGTCAAAGACATCTTTGGTACTTTCAGGATTTCTGTAATAGCCGTTCATGATGGACGGACACTTGACGCAGATCTCACCATACATATTAGGCCTTAACGGTTTCCCGGTATCCAAATCAGCGATTATTACACGAGCGTTTTTGCATACATAACCGCTGGACCCGATCTTTCCGTTATCTGTTTGGCAAGAGATCAATCCTGTCTCAGTCATGCCTGAAACAATTCAAGAACTGTCGTGACTTTGAACTTTGGACTGTGTCACTGTTATCTTTTAGCGCGTCATACGATTACATTTGGCAACAATATGTACACACACCATATATTGACGTAATAAAAACATCTGGTAGGGCTTTTCTGATATTCTCGTGAACGTCAAGTCTGATTACCGAGCCGCCGAATTTTATTTGCTTCAAGGAAGAAATGTCATATTTCGTCAGAGCGCCCGATTTCACCAAATGGTTGCACATATTAGTTTCCAGTAACATCCAGTTTACCTGAAGTAGAATAATTATGTAAAAGTATCTTATTTTCGTCAGGAGGCACATTAAAGTAGCAGAAATGATTACATAATCATGTTAATCTAAGAAATCATATGAGTGCATTTTCCTAATTGCGCTTAATCGGTAATATATAACTTTTTCGCAACTGAATCAATTATGCTTTTTAATTACTTCACGATACCTTGTATTTCTCTATCACTTGGCATACTTTCTCAGCGTCGAATCCAGCGAACTTGATCGCTGTCGAGTACGAAAGTATAGCATCAACGGTCAATATCATACCGGTGATCCAACTTAAGGATCCGAACCACATGCCAACGCTACCAGGTACTTTTACGGGTATTAGCTTAGACGCCGGAGTTGTCAATAACACCTGAGATATTTCCACGGCTTTGGGAAGGCCAGTCGTGCCAGAAGACAACAACAACAACGCGGTATCCTGTATGTTTTTCTTCAACGTACAGGAGAACTCGTCGATCTCGGCCTTGTCGAAATGTCGGTCCAAAATCGATTCAAGCGACTCGAAGCCTTCGGCCTCATCGTAAACCACTATCTTCGGGGAAACGTGCAATTTTATCGAAGCATCAAGAACAGTCGTGGCTTTATCACCGTTAATGAAGATTACCTTCGGCGAGGTTAGCCCGAAGAAATGTTCTATGCTATCTGGAAATATATCTTTTTGTTAATAACTAAACTTTTCAAGAACAGAGAACGATTATTTGTGAAGATTTTATTAAATTAATTAATGAGAATATTGCATAAAGATATGAGAGATAGTCGATCTACTTTGGCCAGCAAATTCGTTCCACGGATTCACGAGGGCACCGATATAAAAGGATGCCAGAAATGGCACGTAAGCCTCCAACTGGTTTTGAGTGCATGATACAATTATGTCGCCTGCTTTAACTCCCTGTTCCTTTAACCACAATGCGCACTTCACGCTCCTTTCTCTCATTTGCTGAAATGTGCTTTGCTTTCCTGTCAGCGCATCCACCTGCGAAGCGTGTCGATCGATATCTTTCATCGCAGGATAATGAACTTATAGGTGGTTCCTATTATTACTGTGTTAGTGATCAGTAGACCAGATTAGTATGTATAAATCTGAAGTTGTAATATTTCATATTTAAAATTACATATACATATATATCGAATTAATTGTTCGTTAGTTATTTCTTAAGAGAATTATATATAATCAAGCATTGTTGTCTCCGTTAGATATGTTAGAAATGCACCGTACGCACAAGTTAAACCATTTTTGTCACTGATGTGCTACCTGTCCAATAAAATCCGGCTTAGCTTTGAGTACATTCAGGATTAATTCTCCGATACTTGTACAATCGTATTCGCTTGAGCATTCCTCGCCTATCAAGATATTATGTTCCATTGTGAACGGGAATTTAGCTTTCTAAAAATAAAGTAAGGCTACTGATTATTATTTGTTGATAATTCTTAATATTGTTATCTCTACATATTAGTGCTATTTTTAATATTATTATCTCTCTTGCAAAACTTATTGAATGAATTTTATCAAATATATTTAGGATAAAGTTCATGATCTCGGATAACATAAAAAGAATGGCTTAATGTCAGATTGTTAATTGCATCTCTGTTATTAGTTAATAGTGAATTAGAGCATTCCATATTCACTAAAGATATTTACGTAAGATAAAAACTGAATTCTACTATCTCAAATATTTCAAATATCACGGAAACAATTAATCGATAAATCTATTTATTGAGATTTTCACTGGTTTTTATACTTTACCTGACAAGTCATGCTGCTGAACTGGAAAGTTACGTATGTTAAAACCAGTTCACTGCGTTACTGCTAATTATGTAATGACACATAATAGAACTTTTAGGTGCGAACCCGCAATATTTCCATATAATAGATAACTTGTCAGGTTAGAAATTATAATATCTATAACTGATATAAGTAGAGTACCATATAATAGATAACTTGTCAGGTTAGAAATTATAATATCTACAACTGATGTAAGTAGAGTACCAATTCCCACTGCAAAAGCTCTTAGAATGGTATGTCTTTATATCTATCTCATATTTGCGAATGTGTTATCTTCAGATACTATTTTATCTTCGCTTTACGTAAACCGTTATTTCTTTTAATTCATTTGTTCTTATTGTACGTTATTACTGTAAGCAAAATTACATTATAATGTAGCAAATAGCAAGAAAAAATATATATGTAATGTATCTTAAAAAAAATACATGTAATGTATCTTAAAAAAATACAACGTATCTCTCAAGGAAATTGCATAATCAAGCGCAAGAAGGTGAACATGTTTATTTTATTATGTAGATGCTAATTTTATGAATTTCACTCAATATATTCAATATATTCATGATAGAAAAATTAATTTTTATGAATTCTCAGTAAATAAATTTTGTTGGATACTAGATAAATTTCCAGTAATAATCGGAAAAATATATTTATATATATGTAATAGTTTGTTACATGCTGGATATACCATTTCGGATATGTAATGACACATAATAGAACTTTTAGGTGCGAACCCGCAATATTTCCATTTAATAGATAACTTGTCAGGTTCGGTACCAGTTTATATAAAGATATGTAATGTTTATTATAATTTAATTTATTATAAAAAAACCGATACCAGTATTAAAATATATGCAACATAAAATATCAGGACTTTCTTATCTAAACAGTTTTACTGCTCACTTTCATTTAAATTGTATAATATTAATCTTAGAATTCATAATTTCTATAATATTCTATAATATATATTTCTATAATATTCTATAATTCTATAATAGTCCAATATGTTCAGATAATTCTATAATGTTTAGAGGTTCCAAACATACCATATAGATATATACTTAAGTATATTTAACACATGCACATGGGATTATTTCTAACAGAGAATATCTAATATTTTGCCATTCAAATTGAAAATATAGGCAAATTTCGAAAGATTTCAAAGATAGAAAAATTAAAACCACACGAAATATTTCATTCTTTAACTATTTTATTCTTTAATTAATATCTTATTCTGTATCGTCTGTGCAAGGTTCCTTTATACGGTGAGGAAAAGCAGGATTACTCAATTAAAATATTTTCCAATAATTTCTCCTACTTGATCAATTAGTTAAGGACTTGCGATATTTCGTCAGAGACATTTTTTTTTAAACTTAACAGGCAAATATTTTGAAGAAAATAGAAAAATTATAGGCATAGGAAATTTAGGCAGCGTCTACTTTTACTGATATTGCAACATGTTGATTACAACATAGAATATGTGATTTCATTCTTTCGCATAAGTTCTTGCCATGTTACGAAGTTCCTTCCGATCGGTTTTCCCGTTGGAAGTACGCGGCAAATTTTTTACGAACACCACACCACCGCGTAATTTCTTGTGATCATCCACGTTCTTAGCTACCAATTGTTCCAGCTCTTCTTCTGTTACCTGAGAAAAATATAGATTATTATCTCAGAATCGATCGAACATGAGAGAGAGAGAGAGAGAGAGAGAGAGAGAGAGAGGAGATGTCCTTACCTCTTTTCCTGGTATTTTCTGGACGAACGCAATCGGATGCTCTCCGTCAAAAGGATGCGACAGAGGGATTACGGCGTTGTCGTACACAGATGGATGGCTCTGCAACAGGGCTTCGATCTCCATCGGTGAAACATGATGACCTTTGAATTTGATAAGTTCCTTAATTCGATCGACGACAAATATATCGCCGTCCTCGTCGTAGTAGCCTATGTCTCCGGTATGGAGCCATCCTTTCGACAAACACCAGTTTGCATTCGTAAATATGTTTGAGTGAGTATTCAATTATTACGTTATATAAAATATTAGAAATTTGAGTATTGAAAATGTTGGAGCTAAGACAGAACAGGTAACATTTTGTGAATATTGTTCGGAAAAATCGTATCTATGTACTTATAGATTGTTTCAATAAAATATATTGTATCATTCGATTATATACACAAAATGTTCGAAAAAAGTTATATTTTATTTTTCTCATAATAAGTTATAACTTTTTTCATGTGTGTTCTGTTTTATTTTACAATTTTTTGCTTGTCATTCTTTCGAATTTTATAGTTTTGATATAAATTATTTGTTTTGTTCTATGATGTATTTTAATTATAATGAATAACTGTCCAATTCATAAAAAAAATCACAAACCAAATAATTATAACATATTTATCAAGTTCCACCATACCATTTTCAGTACATACGGCGTGAATTGAAAATCACGTAAAAACGGTATAACGTATAACGGAATGCGTTAAGAAACTACCACGGAATGCGTTAAGAAACTTTATAAGTTGAATCATTTTTTATATAGATTAAAGTAGTGCGAGATCAGTTAGAGATCCATGATACTAACCATCCTCGTTAAATGCATCCTTGGTATTTTCGGGATTTCTGTAATAGCCGTTCATAACAGACGGAGACTTGGCGCAGATCTCACCATGCATGTTGGGCCCTAGCGGTTTCCCAGTTTCCAAATCGGCGATTATTACACGAGCGTTTTTACATACATAACCGCTGGACCCGATCTTTCCGGTGTCTGTTTGGCAAGAGATCAATCCTATCTCGGTCATGCCTGAAATAATTCATGAACAGTAGTGACAACTTTGAAATTTACATTATATGACTGTCATCTCTTGGCGCATCATAAAATTGTGCACACCTACCATACATCGTCGTAATAGAAATATCCGGCAGGGCTTTTATAATGTTCTTGTGAACGTCAAGTTTAATTGTCGAGCCGCCGAATGTGATTTGCCTCAAGGAAGAGATATCATATTTTATCCAAGCGTTAGACTTCAAAAAATGGTTGCACATATTAGTTTCCATTAACATCCAGTTCACCTGAAACGGAATAAATACGTAAGAATGGAATTTTATCTTGTCCTCGCGAGGAGGCACATTAAAGTACCGGAAATTATAATTTAATTAGGCTAATCTGCAAGGAAATATCGCAAAGTGCATCTCCCGATCGCGCCTGATCGCTGGTACAACTTTTTTGCAACTAAATCATTTAATTATTTCACAATACCTTGTATTTTTCTATCATCTGGCTCACTTTCTCGCCGTCGAATCCTGTGAACTTGATCGCTGTCGAATACGAGAGTACAGTAAAAACAGTTAGAAACACACTTGTGATCCAACTTAAGGATCCGAACCACATGCCAACGCTACCGGGTGTTACGACGGGCGATTGTCCGTTCCCCGAATTTGTAAATAACGTCTGAGATATTTCCACGGCTTTGGGGGGGCCAGTCGTGCCGGAAGATAACAACAGCAACGCGGTATCCTGTGTGTTCTTCAATGTACAAGAGAACCCGTCGATCTCGGCCTTGTCGAAATGTCCGTCCAAGATCGATTCAAGCGACTCGAAGCCTTCGACCTCGTCGTAAACCACGATCTTTGGGGAAATTTGCAACTTCATCGAGACTTTATGGACCATCGTGGCTTTGTCGCCGTTAATGAAGATCACCTTCGGTGAAATTAGCTTAAGGTAGCGCTCTACACTACCTGAAAATATTTCTTTTAGTTAATGACTAAGCTTCGATAATAAGAACAAAGGACAGCTAATTATGGAGATTAAGTTAATGAATGAAAATATTGCATAAAGGTATAAGGAATCTACTTTGGCCGATAGATTCGTTCCACGGATTTATTAAGGCACCGATATATAAGGATGCCAGATACGGCACGTAAGCCTGCAACTGATTTTGCGTGCACGTCACAACTGCGTCGTTCATATTAATTCCCTGCTTATTCAGCCATAAAGCACACTTCACGCTCTTTTCTCTCATTTGTTGGAATGTGCTTTGCTTCCCTGTCAGCGCATCTATCTACGAAGTAGTAATTGTTAAATAATGAGCTTATAAGTGGTTTCTATTATTATTGTGTTAGCGTTCAGTGGATTTTTATTACGCAATTACATAATGTAGATTATGTAATTAAAATTAATTACATAATTTATTACATAATTTAGAGTTGTAATATTTCAAATTATATGTATATCGATCGGATTAATAACAAACATGTTAGTTGTTTCTTAAAAGAATAACAAAAAAATATGATCAAATATTGTTTCCGTTAAATACGCGCTAATGCGTGCATAAGTTAAGCAAATTCTGTTATGCTACCTGTCCAATTAAATCCGGTTTTGTTTTGAATGCATTTAGGATTAATTCTCCTACATTTATGCAATCGTATTTGTTTGAGCATTCCTCGCCTATCAAGACGTCATCTTCTATTTTAAACGGAAGTTTAGTTTCCTAAAAATCAATAACAAGGCTACTCATTATTGTTTGTTGACAATGTTATTCTTAATATTGTTATCTTTTCTAAAACTTATTGAATGAATTTTATCGGATATATATAAAATAAATATTCACGGTAATTGAAATTAACGAAGTTAATTAAATTCGTTTAATTAACATAAAGAGAATGGCTTAATATCAGATTGTTAATTGTATGTTTGTCATTGGTTAATGGTGGGTGTCAACATTTCATGTTCAGTTAAGGAATCTACGAGATAAGGGATCTACCAGTTAAGGAATATCACAAGAAACTGTCACTACCAGCTATAATATCGCTGACACAATTAGTTCACAAATTTATTTATTGAAATTTTTCACTCACGTTTTCACTTACGTTTTTCTTGCTTACCTGACAAGTCATGTTACTGAACTGGAGAGTTGCGTATGTTACAGCTAGCTTGTTACTAAGTTTAAAAGAATCACAAATATGGTTGCAATTGCTTCAAGTTTGAAATTTCACTGCAGGAATTCTTAGAACTACATGCTTTTATATCTATCTAATGTATATGTATATGCGTGTTTTTGTATGTATTATGTATGCATCACATGCATGCATATTTAATATATGTATATATCTATCTAATGTATATGTATGCATCACATGACATGCTTATCTAACATACGAGTATGTATATATCTATCTAATGTATATGTAGATGCGTGTTTTTGTATCTGTGTAATGCATATGTATGTATAAATGTTATCGTCAGCTTCACATCCGCCTTACTGATCTATCGAATATTTTTTACAGTTTTTACATAAATAGAATTGAAGCAGACTCTGTCATGATGTAATAATAATAAAAATTCTATTGGGTTGGCAAATAAGTTCGTTCGGTTTTTTTGACTGGTATAAAATACAATTTATTTAATATACAAAATATATACTAATCAATAATGTATTGACCATTCTTTTCTATGACTTCTTGCCATCTTTTTGCCAATTTCATAATCCCACATTCATAAAACGTCTGAGGTTTACCGGCAAAAAACTGATCCAGTTGCGTTTTAACAGCTTCATTATTAGCAAAGTTTTTCCCGTTCAGAGAATTTTGCAGCGACCGGAACAAATGATAATCAGAGGGTGCCGGTGAATAAGGAAGGTGAGGCAAAACATCCCAGCCAAGCCTTAACAATTTGTTCCGAATAGTTAATGAAGTATGGGGTCTGGCATTGTCATGGTGGAAGACGACTCCTTTTCGATTTGCCAATTCTGGACGCTTCGAACGTATTGCTTGATTCAATTTCGGTAATTGAGAGCAATATACAGTTGAATCGATCGTCCTGCCTGATGGTAAGAGCTCATAATAAATGATACCTTTATAATCCCACCACACTGAGAGCATAATTTTCTTCGGGTGCAATCCTGCCTTCGAGGTTGTTTGTGGTGGTTCACTGCTGCTTCCCCATGATCTTTTACGTACTACGTTATCGTAGACGATCCACTTTTCATCTCCCGTAACCAACCGCTTCAAAAATGGATCGTTTTCTTGGCGTTTCAGCAGCGCGTCGCAGATGGAAATGCGAGCGGTTAAGTTGGCCTCGGTCAATTCGTGCGGCACCCAAACATTGAGGCGAGAAACGTATCCCAACTGACGCAAATGGTTTTCTACACTTGTGTGGGATATATTAAGTGTCGTAGCAATCTCTCGTACTGTTTGCGATGGATTTTTGTCGACGGTATTCTTTATTACAGCTGAATCAATCTCTGCTGGATGACCAGAACGGGACGCGTCACTAACATCAAAATCTCCAGAACGGAATTTGGCAAACCATTTTTGACACACACGTTCTGTTAAAGCATCGTCCCCATACACATTACAAATCTTCTTATGAGCTTCCACAGCTCGTTTGCCTTTTTTGAAATAAAAAAGTAAAATATGGCGAAAATGGACGTTCTTTTCTTCCATATTTGCAACCGTGCATTACGCAATACTCTGGTATTAACCGGCGTATGTTTACAAATAGGTTAGGTGGAACGTCGCTTTTCAGCTGCGCAAGCGCGTTGTGCGATAGCGCTGTGGAAAAGATAGCAGAACGAGTAAACCTACTCCGATTAAAAACCGAACGAACTTATTTGCCAACCCAATATATCTTAAACCTACTTGTCTGTCAAAGAAATTTTTGTATGAACAGATTAGGTGTAGGTGTTTATCTTATGGTGCAGGTGGTGATCTTATGAGCTTCAAACAATATATTCGGCACATCCACGGATAGAAAAATTAATTTTTATTAATTCTCAGAAAATAAATTTTTCTGATGAATACTGGATAAATTTCCGAAATTGATCGAAAAAGAATCTTTATACTTATATACTTCTTGATATACCGGGAAAAAAATTTTGCCGATATATGTCTAAATTAAATGATATTTGGAACGTATAATAAGAAAAAATTTATGACAAAGAGAATTCAAAAATGATAAAAGAAAATATTTTGGAAGAAGAAAATACGAAATAAGGAGAAACAGGAACATAATGTTTATTGTAATATTAAGGAAAATTGCATATTTTCATATCTTTTTGAAGAGATTGTTATATCGTACATTTAAATATTCAGCAAGAAAATTATTTATGGCAGGTATAACTGAAACCATTTGCGAAATTTTTCTTGAAAATTAGCTTGAAAGTTGTCCCTGTTATTCATCATGGGATAGCGCGTAGCTTCAATTAATTATCAAGATCGCTTTTGCTCTCTTCTTTCTTTCGCAAGAATTTATATAATTTGTACAATAAATCATAGTACGAGAAGAAGACTAATATAACGACGACATGAGCACACATAAATCTAACCGCGCGATAACACATACCTATATTTGTGCAACAAGTTGTTGTACATCATATCAATAACTATAATTGAGCCATCAGAAGTTGCTTATATCATAATCTTTGCCAATTGTCTTATGTGCAAGTATTCGACATTACACTCATTATTGTTCTAAAGTAAAAGATGTAAAATAAAAAAAGTAACTCTTATTTACAAACTATTGTTTGAACGAAATTTTGATAAACGAAAAGTGCTTCGTTTATGGTACAATTTTCCAGTGTATTCTACTCGCGATTATCTTGGGATACTTTGTATAGTACCGGTATTATATCGAAATTTTTATAATATTGGTATTATATAATAAATGTATATATATAACATCGGTATATGTTTGAAACCGCTAGCAAAATAATTTCGGTAATCTAAAGAGAGAGAGAGAGAGAGAGAGAGAGAGTTCCTGATTTAAATATAAAATTATATAGAATAAAATAGAAGATATTTATAGATCTGATTTTTATTAAATATCAGCGTAATGAGTCACAAGAAATATACGATACACAATTACTGATGAAATCTGAGTATGAAATATTAATGATAGTATTGAATCTCAGTTAATTCATTTGTCTCGTAAATATTAAATTCCGTCTACCCCTTGCAGGATAAATTGGTTGGCTAACTTAAACGTTGTCCAACTTTTGGACAATATTATAACGGTTAATCAAACCAACTTGTGCTGCACAGGACCTCTGTACTACTAAAATATTTTAATTTCTAATGAATAGCTCTGATTGTATTAAGTTGGAATTTTTGTAGTTTCCAAACTACAAAAAGCGAGAAGTGACAAACAGCCGATAAAATAATGATATGAGTTTGCGATAGTATATAGAGGTTATGATATATCTACATTGATATATTAATGCAAGTCATCTTAAAAGATGGAAATACTTTTTCTGATTGAGACCGATGCGTACAGTTTCGCGCGAATATGGAGTCAAAATAGTAAAGCGAGATTGAAAAGACAACGGCTATTTTTAAAAGGAACTTTTGAATCCGATTTGAAAAAAATTAAATATGGCTCAAGTTGAAATTTTTTAATAGTTTGACTAAAATGGTTTAAAGATCATTTCCTTTTCTTTTTTTTTTTTACAGATTTGGTTTCCTCTACAAAGTCAAGTATGCCTGTGTAGATAAGTATCTATTTTTCAAAGGCATTGTAAAGATTCGTATTTTCTGCTAAAAAAAGAGAGAAACCTAAAGCGGAAATTAATCGTGACAAAGAAAGACGGCGTGAAGAAAGAAAACACGGATACTTGGACAATAAGTTTCCCTGAGTGAATTTGTACTCCGGTATTATCCGTGCGCGATAACGTACGTACCGCTAATCCAAGCGGCAATTATAACCTCTTATCTAACGTTAACGAATCTACCCTATTCGTTCTAATTTTAATTAATACTACACAGGTTTAACTAATACTATATCACTCCCGTCGCGAGATAAAAAATATGTTTGATCTCGATGAGGAATCTACGGGAACATTTCTTGGCGAGAGGTATTTTCCGATTAATGTTACTTTACCTTTTGATAGGATTAACTTCTAATGCATTGATTAATCGTCTATCGTCTATCGACAATATTTGAAATTCGCAGACGATCCTTATTTCCGTGAGTCTCCGAGAACAACGAATGTTATACGTCGATCAGTATGTTTGGGTGTCGAAATTGCATGTAGTCGATGAATTGTTTTTTTTTTTCAAGATAAGCTGTGTTTGCTGTTTCCTTTCTGTTTCATATCATAAGCCGCTATAGATATATAAAAAGTGTAACAATAAAAATAAACGTATTAGTCTACGGTACAACATACGATCAAAAACTTCTTACTTTTTCATGCTCGTGTTTCCTCTTATAAATATCGATTACTCTCTAAGAGTCAGTTTCACCTGTATATCTTATCTTCATAAATTTCATTATCTTTTCATCGTCTCTCTTTCCTCGGAATTTAATTATATTTTTAAGGTGAAATTAACCCTGAGGCACACGCATAAATAAATAAAATATACAATTATGTCGTTGTGGTCTCTGCACGCAACAAATTTTTAGTCGTAACCGTGAATCCGTAAGAAAATTGACCAAACTCAATCGATTATTTTCCGATCGCAAAGAGAATAATAAACTGTGATTGGTCAATTTTCTTGCGGATTTACGGTTACGACTAAAAGTTTCTTACGTACAAAGACCTTGAGTACAACGTCAATATCGATCGAACGATTATTACACGCGAATTTTCGGATTACTTTGACCATCAGTTGGATACCAACATATCCAAGTGACCCGAAATCACCGATGGTGTCAATCAATAATTCAATTTACGCACAATGTTTATATAGAGTGAGTCCAAAATTCTGTTACAAAATTTGTAAATTTTCTTATCAATTAATTTCAAAATGTATAATACGTTTGCACATTTGATCTGTGACAGGGAACTTCGGGCTCACATTACAATTTTGGATATCACGTATGCCGACTATAATAATGTAACATATCCAGACATTTGTGTTATACCTGACATAATATATATATAATATATTAACACGTTGACTGCCACGCTGATTTCCATCGATCGTACAAACGCCTAATTGATTCAATTAAATCACTAAAGCTGCAGTAAATAAATATAATTCAGGATACGCATCTGTTAGCTTGTTTCATTAGCTCATTACTGGCTGTACAACCTATTTTGTAGATGCGATTAATTATACGTCACACGTAATTCAATAAAACGCGGTAACATCATAGCGCCGGTCACCGGTGACCCCCGTGGCAGTCAACGTGTTAATTATATATTATAAAAAATGATCCATATAAGAGGTTGTTCAACGCGACTAGGAGAAGTGCCTGTCGAGCGACAACATTGCAGTTCAATACAATCGTACACGGAACAATTGAATTAACCTCTGAGTAAAATAAGCGAATCTTCAGTTGTTTCAGCGTAAGTCAATTACACAGGTACTCGATATACTTGACGACATCATTGATTACGATAATCCGTCGAAAATAAAAATGGGACCGTTTAGGAGAAACCCCTTGCCAAAAAGTATTATTCGCTGTAATAAATTACTCGTACGAGTAATAAAACTAATGAGCAACAGTAATTTATCGCTGGTCAATAATACTTTGTCACTACCAATAATACATTTTTTGCGAGGGACGTGTCATTAAAGCTTCTTCGACTTGTAAGTGTCACGAAAAGGAAGGAATTACAAGTTCCCTGTTTGTTAATATGTTCGGAACATACAGTTCTCTTTGTAGCAAAACATGCGACACAATTTTCACTCCCGATGGGAACTTAATAGCGATTGGAATATCAATATGTGCTCGCAATCTGCACTCGTTAATTCACAACTCGTAATCGTCGTTCATCTAATTAATCATTAGGTAATCAATCGTTAATTAATTATTCGTTAGGCTAATTTTGACAGTCCGTGTTTCAACTCCGAGAGATTAGAAATATCGTCTCGCTAAGTGCTCTGACGTAAGAACGGCGAATATCACATCGAAGCTACACACGTTCTCATCTCTTTAGCCGCGTCGTCACTACAAAAGCTGCGTATTATGCAATTACAGAAAGGATCGTATATTCGCTTTTTATTTTCATTCTCCTCTCCTCCTTCCTTGCTTCGCGCAAACCACATATTGTACTTCGAGTTATTAGGCGCAGAAGCTGAAACGTTTGTTTTCTCTCAGCTATGCAACGACATTTATCGAACGCATAAATAAAGCACAGTGCGCTCGAACAGCACAAAGATGTCTTGCGGGACATATTCGCGCTGTCCGAGAGACTTATCATTAATATCAACTCGACATCGGTAACGATCACACTGACATCCACAACCTGCGTTACGTCTTATCACTACGACTATTGGTATCACACATAAATTATCATCATAGAATGGCTAACATCTCGATCGTGCGAAACGGCCGACACCACCTATAAAGTCGCTTACGATCTGGAAGTGCGATGTTTTCTCGCTTAGCTTTTCAATTCACGCGGAAATGTCGTAGATGTCATGGTCCATTAAATCCGCGCGCCTTCGCAAAGAAAATCGGGCTGTAAATCCGACCGTTAAGTATGGCTCGATGATTTCAAGGTCTATTTCGTGCTGTTGCGTAGAATGTTCTCTCGCTTTGCAAAGCGAACGGACGGCTACGCTCTTAGTGCTAAATATACGGTCAGGATACAAATGACTAAGTATGCTTCGAAGAGTTAAAGTTGAAGACACGGTCGCTGATGAGCGGCCCAACAAGCGGTCCAACAATAATAATTTGTGCGTTTGACCTCCTTTTGTTTTACTTTGTCTCGTTCTCTTCGAAAGAATTGTTTTTTGTGACTCATCAAGCGAAGAAAGATCATCCTAGCCGATCAAGAGTGGTTTAGCTAATCTCTAATCGTTCATAAATAAAAACAAAATATCTCCTTTCGACGATAAGTATAGCATGAATTAATGACCGTTGCGAACTCTTGCGCCACCGCGGTTTCTCAAGCCTTGGAATACAATTCATACAAATCGGACAGCACGCTCACTTCTTGCTGAACGCCTTGATGATCGATGTCACGCTCTCATACGTTCCCGTGGCGAAGCCTAACACGCCGATCAACACTATCGTCAAATCCTTCGCGATCGTGAAGAAACCGAGGTTAGCGTTGTGCCAGCAGACGACTATCTCTATGATCGGCGGGAATACGAGGGCGAGCGCAGTGCTACTGACCGCGCCGACCAGAGAGATGAAGAGGCCTAGTTCCGGTATCGCCTCCGCCAGGATAACTGTGAAAGTCGTTTTGTCTTTGAATCCAAGAATGAACTTGTCGCGTATCTATGCGTACACTGAGAGACAAAATGTCTAAGAAGTAAAAAAAAATATTTATTCGTGGTGGATAAAAAAGTTTAATTGAATTAAGCAGAAAATAGGCGATCGTTTTGGTTGTTCACTTCCCCAACCAAACTTTTTTTCCGTCTACTAATAACACATTGTACTAACATATAGGTTTTTACCTAAGAAAACATTTTTTTCAAATGAGAAAATATACATCCGTCCGAGTAACAGCAATTTATCTTACATTTAAATAACAAAATTTATATTTAAGTAAATATGTTATATTAGTATCCCATCCTAAAGTATTTATAATTTTTATTTTTTTATATATGCTTTCTCCCAGTGTATAATAGATGCTAATGATATAAACAAAAGATATTGGCGAATAATTGGATCTCCGATACTTACACGTGAGGAGGCACATGGCGGAACGGAAAATGATCTCTGCGAATATCGGCCACTTGAAAGGACCGAACTGGCTGACGATGCCGGGCCACATTATCGCGATCGGAACGTAAAATTGCAGCGCGTACGTGAGCAATATGCTCAAAGAGATGGCGGTCTTGATGCATTGCGACAAACTGCAAGAACGTTCGATTTGTTAGTTCATCCCGACTACAGAAAGTGGGTATGGGTGAACTCGTAGGTAGAACAGAAAAAAGTTCTCCCTCGCTCTCTGATTTATAAAGAAAAAGGAAAGGAAACATGCGCAGACGAGCGAAAACATGCGCAAGGTATATGCATCACCTCTACGCTTTTGCGGTTTCTAATATTACATTGCAACGAGTCGCAAATAACTTCCCCTTCTCTATTTTCCGTTCTTCGGGTGTCAGAAAAAGCAAATTGCCATCTTCGTTGGAAGTTATTTACGATTCGACGCAACGGAATAATTAAGCTCTATCCTAGCTAATCTATATCAGTCACAGCAAGTCTAAAGAACGTTCAGGTATAAACCTTGAATGACCGTAGATGATTTTGCCATCCACCCTTGGAATATAAGAGAAAAGTATATTATAACGAGTTTTTCGGCGATCGCTCTAAGTACATATTAAACTTAATATTGTGCAGGCTCTATTGACACCACCCATCGGCTCTGAGGTAATCGCTTGATGCAATGATATTCGTCTATAGACGCAATAGTGAACTTTACCTCCACGACCTTTTCTTATGGGCTGCAATTACGCGGATTCAATTACGTTTACTTACATTTCCTCCGGCTCGAGATTGAGTGTGACGGAGCCGGCAACCTCGTCGCCATACTTCAAGTAAGACAGGAAACCTATCGCGACGAACATAGAGCCGACTATCACCATACCGACGTTGAGAACGCCCAACGGCTTGCTAAAATTGCTGGGCTTCTTCATTTCATTCTTCAGTGGCAGTACCTGTGCATGAAACGTCTATTAGAAATACGCGGTCACAAACGGCATCCAATTCAAATTGAGAAAGATCCAACAAACCATTAATTTGCAATTATATTTATACAGTCTGTCTAATAAAAGCGGGCAAACTTCTGTTTGGTTACATCGAAAACTTTTGAATGAACGGGTAGAGCAGGGTTTTTCTCTTATAACGCATTATACAGAAGGTCCTTGATCGACTTTCACTAGAGAACGACGTAATTAATAGTGAGTGCCAAAGTAGAGTACCGGATCAATGTAAGGTTTGAAACGGTTTGTTTTTTGTTTCAAATGTATGCGAATGAAGCGCACGGAGGTAACTAACACGATAAAACAGCTCGTTTTAAAATTTACGACAACTGTCTCAAAACTTACGATTTTCCCTGTGATCCAATTCGGTATGTCTCACGGAGAATTTGAATGTCAAGAAAACGGTGAAAATTTGCCGGAGAGCAATAATACCATCCGCCGAAAAGAGTGGTTTCAAAGTAAAGGTCGGGTCCTCCGGAAGGACCCAAAATATTGGACTTAGCTCTCAATAGAAGGCAGAAAATAACTATTTCTAGCCATCACAGTCATCGGACGTAGGTCCTATTAAAAATGCTTGAACATTAGTGAAGATAAAGTTGTGCAGAAAAAAAGGGTACATGATGAAACAGATTCGTTTAATATGTTAATCTTTATCTCGAGAGTATGCCTGGAAGATGTCAAGCAATAATTGACAACAGTGATGATTGGACGACTTATTAACACAGAAGCGTTGCAATACTCATTGTGTAGTACATATATAATTTTTTCTTTTTTCTTATGATAAATAGTTTAAAAGATCACGCTTTTATTAGACATATTTATGTATATTTTCTTATACGTGCCATCAATTGGATTCAGAGATATTATAGTGTATTAATTTCGGGATAAGAAATATATCTCTCTATGTACTCACTAGAGTAATACCTTCGAAGGAATATATCACAGTACCGAAGAACAGAGGTAGCTCATGCCAGTCTGCGACGTATCTTCTCTCGCTTATTGACGGCACGTCGTGGCTCATGATGTACATGGTGGCGATGTAACCAGCCATCACGAGGAAATTCGCCACTGAGGACAGCGGCACTAGGTATTTGAGATTTCTGATCCAGGTGCTCAACAGTATGGGAATCAGAACCACCGCCATGTGCTGATGAACGTCCATCTCGATTCCGTGCACGTCCAACACCTACCGTGACGAATCAAAAACTCTCTTCATGATCGACAAGGGGAGATTTGGAAGTTTCTTATCTTTTAACATTATTCCTAGGTACGCAGGAAAGGCTAGTTCTACATATCGCTTCCGTTAAGGAGCGCTGTTATTTTCGACGATACGTGAAATCAGACAAGTAATAGCAGCTGCAATACCGTCGTCTTTTTGATCATATTTCGCTATTGTTGCACGCTCAATATGCCTTCCACTACGTCTAATAAAGTTATTGTTATATTGTTATTTTTATTAAATGCGGGTGTTATTTGCGCAAGCGATTTTTTATGATCCTCGTACTTCTTGCGGTCGAAAGAGAGATCGTACGAACGATTAGCACTTATTCACTTTTGTGCGGTCAACAGATAGAGGTAACAATGATTTATCTTTGTTCCGTGCGACGAACAAAACGACAGACGACGCTGAAGCATCGTAGACGCCGCGGAAAAGAAAGAAAGCCGTAGAAGAAGCTAAAAAGAAATACCTCACCTGCTTCATATTTTTGGAAATGAAAACGAAATATACGCAGCAGAATCCGAGTTGCGTGATGCACAAAAACACATTAACCAACTTTCTGCAACAAAATCACAGGAGACAGCAACATAAATGGCGACGCGCTAATGTGCAGAAAATCATGAGTAAAATTATTCGAACACGCATATAATTGTGGCAAGAACTGAAAGTTTCGCGTGAACAGCATCTATGACTTGAGGAGTACTGGGCGTAACTGAAACAGGTGGTCAAACTGGAATACACCTTAAGATAGTTGGTCTGTGAATTTCTTTTTTTAGGAATCTTGTCAGGTTTGGACAGCATATTAATCGAAACGCGATCTACACGCATGAATAAAATTAGAAAAAGATCGACCGAAGTTAAAATAATTAAAGTCAAAGTTAGCACAATTTACATGAGAATACGACACAGATATGAAAATGGCTTCTGATGCACGTTTTTAATTCGAACAAACGAAATGTCTTTATAATTTTTAATAGAAAAAGGAGAAGACAATAAAAGAGAGGCTTGTAGAAATATAACAAAAATGATACGATCGTTAACTACCTAGTCTTCCAAAATTTTATATATAAAGTATACGATTTCCAATAACGGTTGAAATATGTGACAGCTAACCTGCAAAGGTTTAACACACGCAATATTGTAAGTCCTATATTTTCCTTTGCGCCTCTTAATTGGGCATCTTTTTAAAGATAGAATGGTTAAATAACCTTAAAGATTTATAATCAATACGTAAAAATGCGAAAAACATAGGAAAATATGAAGGACATATTTAAAAACCCGGCGTCACTTTTCTAAGAGTGTGTGCGCGCGTCTATCGAGATACATGTGATATATTTACGGCATAGTTAACACGGACAGTCCCAGCTAAAAGTATTACACGTTGAAACGCAAAGAAACGTTTATTTCTTTATAGATTTTTAAACATTATGTAAGTTTTATCGATATTCTCTTGCTATAGTGTCCAAGCTATATGTCGTAAATCATATTTATAAACATTTAGCACACAGATTTGACAGTATTGTCACGGACCAACTACCTTAAAGATGAGCAATTTGATATTTTAAGGCTCCTGGTCCCTCGCTGCAACTGTCCTTCCTTCCTTGCTGACGTCAGAAGTGAGAAAACATATGTCGAGAATTCTTGGATTCAAATAAAAAAATATGCTCACAAAATGACATTTGTGATCGGCACACTTGTAAAATTCTCCAAACACTTTTCTTTTACTCGAACAAATAATAAATAGTTGTAAAATGAACGTTGATAAAATCATGGAAAAAAAACAGATTAAAAAGGAAGTGTCCGTGTCAGATTAATTTTGCGGCTATTTATTGATTGCTCGAGTAAAAGAAAAGCGTCCGGACGAATTTCACCAGTGTGCCGATCACAAGTGTCATTCTGTGGATATTTTTTTTATCTGAACGTATAACGTAAGAATCCTTGGCATACATTTTCTCTTTTCTGACGTCATCAAGCGAAGACAATCACAGCGAGAAGCCTTTTGCAATGTGGAGAAACACATAATTTGGCTTCCGAATTAATCCTTCATGGATTGGTTTCCGACGTTTCATGAACATTTCAGTTCATTTCTTCAGTTTCGATCGTTCATCTCCCTAAAGAAGTGAACCGAAACGTTCACGAAACACGTCGGAAGCAAATAGTAAATAGTTGTAAAATCTATGGAAGAACGAGAAATGTTCTCCCTCATTCCTGAGACAAGTAAAACACACTGAAAAAAAGGATTTGATAATAAGTACTAAAATTTGATGAATATTCGCCGACCAAATATTTGATTACGGCAATCAAATTATTTAATTCGATATACTGTATATACAGTACTGTAATTCCGTATAATGTATATTTAGTATACGGAACTAAGTTATTTGGTTGTAGTAATCAAATATTCGCCAAATTTTAGTACTTATTACCAAATCTTTTTCTCAGTGCATGCTCTGAAAACGTCACCGATGTTTCAGTTATACCCGATACAGGTGGACAAAGGACTGAAATGAGCGTGAGTTGTGCTCCTTTGTTATTTTGCTCTCTAATCTCGCTCTCTTGCTTATTGCGTACCTCATCATGGACGAATATTTACGGAGGCCGAGGGGTCCAGTGGCGAAGCACATCTCCACGGTACCGGCGAAGCCGCTTGCATCGGCGCCGTCGCCGACGCGACGTGTCACCTCTTCGTTGCATTTGATCTGGAAGAGCGGATATTGTTAACCCTTTTGCGCGCCGAGCGCTCAAAATTGGCTGGCTTCGGGAGTTTTGGAATTCTACTTGACGCGTGCCAACTCAGTTGGCGGTGATAAATAGCTGACGATAAAATTCTGCTAAATTCTAACTCGAGTGGACCGTCGCGATCAACGCGGCGCATCTGATAGAGTCGCGACAATTAATAGATGGCTTAATATCGGACGAGACCAGGTCCTTGAGAAGGAATGAAGAAAGACGCGACAATAACGAAGAAAGAGTACGAGATAATGCGACAAAACACAGACGGTCATCACAGAGAGTCCATGAGGCGCAAAGAAGGCGATCTCATCTTTTATTTCGTTTCAATGATATATTTCACGAATCGGATCTTGCGTTTACTCTTTTATTAGCCTTCTCCCGTTACCTGTTGATATCGTTTCTCTTGGTTAAAATTTTACGCGATAATTCAAATTAAAAAATATATACAGGGTGCTTCCCTACGGAATAACTGCATGCGGAGTGCACCGGGAGATTATAATTATAATAAACGAAGCAGCCTTTTGTTTACCAAAATTTCATTCGAATAATAATTTTTAAACGAAAATTATTTTTATATTTGTCAAATTAGCTTACTGGGTCGTGCCCGAATCAGGAACGCACATATTCCGCAGAACCATGATTGAAATATCACTTGAATGTCATATAGACTGTTTTCCTTCTACCTCAGTAAAGGTTTTATTTTAACATATCGCTATTTTGAAAGTTACTTGATACGAAAGAATTTCTTCCTGATGATACTGAAAGAACGACTAAATATATATATATATATATATATATATATCTTTCAATTATTTTAAATTATATACGTACGAGGATATGCTGAGCGTGCACGCAGATGATACCGAGGAAGATCGTGAGTGGAGGTGCCAATAACAATCCCGCGTTTTTAAAAGCGTCACCTAAGGCGAAGATCCCCGAGCCGACGTTACCCTTGAACAGATGCATCATGGTTTCCAGGTACCTGCAGTTGTCCAATCGTTCATTAGTGCATTCGTCTTATTTTCGTCGCTGGACGCGAAATTCGGTGTTACGGAAAAAATAGTGAGGTGCGTCAGCGCGTGAATCATCAAATATGCGAACCGGAATTACAGATCTTACGAAATTATAGCCGTAAACAATGAAAGATAAGAAGAAACGTTTAGAGCGGTTCACTTTCGGAACGTCTTTTCGTGCTCGTTAGAATATTTTCCGACATGCACGACCGTAAAAGCCGCCAATGTCGAAATGCGGTCTCCCGCAAAAAAATTGTTACGGCCCGCGCGCGGAAATACGTGATTTTTTTTTATCAGGATATCGTTGCGAGACAATTACTCGCTTCCGTTTCTTTAAATTGCACGCGATACGGGTTATTCTACTAGTCACGCATTTCCGATCACTTGAATTTGACCCACGTTTGATTCTTTTTTTCTCTCTATTTTTTCTTCTCTTTTTTCATTCAAAATACACGATATCATTCTTTCGTTGCGTAAAAACATGCGCTTTTCTCTAGTAACAGGCAATCTCGATTCGATCTTTAGAAAATCGATCTTTTCCCTCTTGAAATCGATTTTTTTTCAATTGGTCCTTTTCCGTTCGATTTTTCTACGTATCGATTCTCGATTCTTTCATACACTCATTCATCAATGTTGTTTCGTTTAATAAAGAATTCACACTGGGGTCAACACCTGATATAATTAGGATATTGCTTTAGGTGTGTATTTCATAAAAATTATATAAATGATGATAAAATTGGCTATTAACACAAATTATCATCAAGGATCTAGAATTTCAGTCAATCAAAATCTTTGTTACTGCTTCAACTGAAAGCTGATATTTCATCTGTGACTTCTGCACACAGAACGCAGAAACATTTTGATTACTAGTGATTATTTTATGTTTTAAATCTAGTTGAATACATAAGAAGCTTGCTGGTATGTGAGAAACTTGACTTCAAACCACATTACTAGGTTATTGCATATACGACAAAGGAAGCAACATTGATAAAACGCATATTCCTTCCAATTTTTGTTTAGCAGCAGTTGGGAATAATAAAAAAATTGACCATATTTGATCTTCTGAATCGTTGCGATGAGAAATGTCTGTATCCTTATTTTTAAATCAGATATCAAATTTTCATCTTCATTCTTCTTAAAACACACTTCGTGTGGGTTGAATCATTCTTATATAAAAGTACGGCCAATTAACTTTAGATTTAGTAGATATACACTTATAAAATAAGAAAAAATATATTTAAATCCTCATTTTATGCGAGATTTTTGATCGATTGTTAGAGAATCGGTTCTTTTAGTTCGATTTTTTAATAAATCGATTCTAGTTATTCCGGTTCATGATCGATTCAAAAATCGATTTTCAAAAGGATCACTCATCACTACTTCTCTCCGTTGCCTCCGCAAATGCAGAGCGCTCGCTAGTGTATCTCGTGCGCTCTGCAAGTAAATGACTTTGTTGCCGACGAGAATTTTGTTGTTTTACGGGACGTTGATTTAACTTACGAAGTAGGATGGTGCACGGTAATGCCGTGCTCGTTAGTCCCCCTGCCTTTGACATCATCACCCTTCTCCACTGCCAAAATAGGATCCTTCGATTGAAAAGCTCCATACGTCCCGCCATTTCTGAAATCAGTTCAACGCGATTTGATATGATTCAATGCGACGCACAATCTACCGTCATTTTTCCCCGAGCTTGATACTGAAGTTAAAGCACCATCACTGAAATGACGACGGCCCTGATGATATCTTGTGCGACTTTCCACGATCGTAATCTCGCGTAAAATGACGGCAATCGCCGGATATGCGTGTGCATTCTAGACGATCGTCAAGCGAGATAATTGAATTTCCAAGATTAGCATTAACTACGATAATCGCGACTGTGCATGAACGAAGAGGGAATCAACGGGAGGGATAATTCCCTTAACGCATGAGAGCAGAGACTTTACGATTGGTGGATGGACTATCGATAGAAACGATACGTCGTTCTTGGCAACGACCTGCCGTTTAAAATAGCGATGTCTGTAAATTCAAGGCGAAAATTCGCGATATATATATATATCGATCGTTTCGGCGATTTACTGCGTTGACGCGCGATGCACTTTACAGCATAATCATGGTCTAAAGTTTCGTCATTTTTTAAGAATACATCTCTGAGAAGCGAATTTCCGTGGGTGAAAAGAACCCGAATGATTAAAATTATCGCGTGATCAGTCAACGATGATGATGATCGGTCGTTTGATGTAAAACATTAGAAAATGTTATTAAGCTCGCTTATCGTAAGTCGCGTGACGTAGTTCGCGCCACAATCATTCACATAATCAGATAACTCAATGAATTATATAAGTTAAACAACACACATACGAACACATGCGCACATGAAACGCCACGACAATTAAACCACGACCGCAATAGCGCACTTAAACAGGATAAAAAGCATTGCGATATAGTACTCGTTAGAATAATCCGCGCTCAATTATCTCTTATTACACATCGTATCAATTTTTCAATCAGGCAACTCACGATTTTTAAAGTGTATTTTGCGATATCATGTTGCTAAGTAGAGCAATCGAATCATTTGGATTAAGAGAAAGAGAGAGAAAGTATAAATTCCTTATTCTGGTAGCGATTCGTGATTAGATAAAGAAGAATTAATAAACAATTGGAGAGATTAATAAAAACAACCGACTATCGACAGCTGATATATATCGAATTATCTAAACAATCAACAAATTATGTAACTGTACATGCAGTCTCGTTCACAAGAAAGTGTGCTAAGTGCTAAAGAATTTATTAGAGTGTGCGGAGTATGCAAAGGTTATAATTTGATAGCCCTTACAAAAAAGTATTATGGCCATGATAAATTGGCCAGTGAAATTCGTACGATAATAAAACTACTGAACAACAATAGTTTATCGCTAGCCAATTTATTACAATCAGTAATACTTTTCTTTAAGTGTAGTTTAGTAGCGTTCTTTCAAACTACATATCTACCTCTTACAAGAAATCTCTATTTTATAACCAGAACCATGCCAAATTATTTTTTTGTTAACAAAAAATAACTTTGAGGAACTGGTTTTTAATTTCAGCGATCGATTTATTTACCATTTTCATATAAACGAAGCAATTGATAGGTGTGACCGATTCGAACTGCCGATAAATCGAAATTATCAAGCTACTTGAATTCGAACTTTTCAGATTCGAAAACGAACTCGAATCGAATTAACACTGATTTGATTTGAAGGATTCGCACACCTCTACAAATTATCTATATACATACTTACCCAAGTGGCTGTTTGAAAGTGGTTTCGTCACCGTGAACGGAATTCTTGGGCGAAGTTGCGATCGGGTTGCTATTCAGTTCCATCTGCAACATATTGCAAGGTAACAGCCGAGGCGCATCTCGTGTAAGATGCTAAAATGTCGTGACACACGAAAATACATAAGTGCATGACGCGCGTCTTGACGCGCAAATCGAAACTTTTATTCTCACCCTCGGCACTATTCCCATTCGCTCTGACGCGCGTGTTTCGTAACACGACACGCGCGTTATCGGGCGTCACAACGTTAAAAGTTTTTTTTGCTCAAGCGGCATCGCGCGCGACAAGATGATGAATGAAGCACCTATAATCGGTCGCCGAGTACGCCGTTTGCGAAACGTCAACTTGAGCTCTAATCGGTAGTATACAGAGTGAGACGTATAATCCCTATTATCCCATCCTGAATATCTTCGAGATATGAGTATTTTATCTAACGGAAATCGCTTCGAAAATCTTCCGTGGATGGAAAGCTTTTTCGTCGTCGTCTTTTATTCGTTGATAAAATATTTCTATTTTTTTAAGATATTCTCAAGGTGATACTTACTGCCTCACGTATTTATGTTTTAATCGCGAAACAGGCCGAGAATCTTGTCAAATGATATTTGGTATTATTTCACAATTTTATATTCCATTAATTTCTGTAGACTTTCATAATTAGCGCAGCGTTCGATCAAATTTTTCAGCGGATGATTCACCGCCGAGTCGAAGAGACTCCCTGTTATTTGTTTTTAATTAGATTATGAATTTGATTCAATCACCTGCCGTCAATCGCGTCGTAATCACAATGATATTACATCGTTACACGAAAAATAACGAGAGAAGAAACTTTTAAAGGCGCCACTGCGAGTGTCCTTCGAGTGGTAAAAAGATCAACTATATATTTTGTTTCGAGCAGAAACGCCAATTGGACACGCGTGTTGCTTTATACGTAAGTCTTTCGGCCGATTGACTCCTTAATTAAACCATAGCGTGCATCATGTTTAATCCCGCGACAAAAAAAAAAAAGAAAGAACGTCACTAACAACGCGTTGAAGCAACAGATAAAAATACGGAAGAAACACGTTCGCGCGATACGTATAATGTAATGGCAAAGTGGAAAGTTAGAACGTGGAATCGTTTATTATATAAATTATTTGTCCTCCGATTCTGCGAATATAGACACAGTCACGCTCGTATTTGCACGAGCCAATCCTTTTATTTCTTCCCAGCTGGTCGTTTGACATATGTTGATAGATTGGATATCGTGGCGAATCAATTGATGTTATCGTCGGGATACTTAGTATCGCTCTTTAATCAATGTTTTGCCGCCTGTCGCAAATTACACGTGACCACGAGAGTTCGTGTATAATTCAATAAAAACTTTCCGTCGAACTATGCTCGCGTGGTAACTTTCCTACTGTTTGTCCTCAAGATAAGAGGTGCATAATCTTGACGTAGGAAATTTTAAGAAATATAAATGGAAGAAACGTAATATCTAATCTTCAGCGCGCCCTCGTAAAGCAAGAAGATAACCCAGCGGGAAATGAATATCGAATCGAAACAATCGAAATTACATCGAATTGATGTCGATGTTCATTTCTCGTTGGCGCGACGAAGGTGTAGCCTCCGCTGTCTTGCAAAATTATTTGTCGATCTGTCAATAAGTAAATGTTGATGTCACGTGGAAGTTATCGACGATGCCATCGAGTTTGACGTCTTACCGTCTTATTTTTCAACGTTTTATCTGAAATTAAGGCAGCAAAAGATACATCAAAATTAACGACGAGTGGGCGAGCAGATCGTGCGAATGAATTTCGTAACACGGAAGTGCACAATCTTGCCGGGTGGCGCTTCCACGGGCGGGATAAAAAGGGACGACCTTATAAATTAATTGTCATGTAAAACGCGCCGGTAATCACTTCCTGCGCCACTTGCTTCTAATGGATTTAAACGATCCTAATCGACGTATCCCTCAGGTTACGATTGTGAGACGCAAAGTACGCTTTAGGCTGGATCTACAATAGGTGTAGTAAGTCTTTTGTTCCAAGCATTAAATATAAGTTCTAGCAAAAAGCGTCTCTAGCGCTACCAGACGCAATACCCAAAATTTAAGGGTTATTGCTTGGCGCAGCGCGGCAAAGCCCTTTTGTCAATTAAATTAAGAAATTACGGTACATTTTATTGCAAAAAGAGCAAAAAAACTAAAGGCTTGTTATATCTATAGATCCGGATTTATCATCGTGTTTTGAGGGGATGTCGCACAGCTGCGCTGAGGTGCGGGAAAAATTTCATAACTTCGGAATCATTTGATATGCTTTATAATTTCATTTTTTTTTGTTTCTTTTTGAAATTTTAAGTTCATATAGAGACTAACATTAAGACATACAAATGAAATAACACTAATTATATTAATCTCATAACTGTCACAATTGCGCGCGTATACAAAGAAATTATTTTATAATTTTAATAATAATTATTAAATAACATTGTATGCATCAAGTAATATTTTATATTATGTAAAACAGTAACATTAAATATCAAGTAAATAACAATTGTAGCTGAAGTTGCAAAAAGTAACATGTAATTTTTATAGAACAGTAAGAATATCTGCTGCCAAAAAATACTAGCCTAGAAGCTTAAAAGAAAGTGAGGCATTTTAATAGATATAATGAAATAAACACTCTAAATAACATTCTAAATCAAAACTTTTGAAATTTTAATTATCTTGTTATAAACACTGTAATAGGATTTTCGTTAAGAACTTTGAATAAGTGATTATGTCACATAAAAAGTAAGACTGTACACATTTGAAATACATAAGATGTATTTCGGTTAAACAGATTATTACAGACATTAAATAATAGAGTACAAAGGTCTACCTGCGAATTGATTCTATTCTTAAATCAAATGAACGCAAAACATATTTATTTTTAAAATAAGATATTACCTAGTAAACACGATTAAGAACGTTAACTTATGTACTAAAGACGTAATAACGACGTCACAGATGTCATTATTATGTTATTGTGTTGGCTACTATTCATTAGATATCCCAAAATAGCAGTTGATACGTTTGAAAACAAGATTTTTAAGATTTTAGATTTTTCCTATCTCCGCATTACTGTGCGCCGGTGAGACGGAACAATTCAAACGTACCTGCCGATACACGTCAGATGTCGTACGAGCGCTGTGTAGCAAGCTGAGCAACTATTGATCGATAATTGTTCAGGGAACGGCAAGGCTAAAACGCTTTTCCCGGCAGTTGACGGTGTGGTAAGCGGACAGCAATTAGTTACTTTTATAGGCGCGATTATCTCGATCTATACAAGTACTTATGATCACCTTGTACTGATAGATAAGCGAGCCGACGTAAAATTTGCAAATGCAATTGATGACGTTCGTCATTGATAATTTACATAACGGATGTTATTCAATGCTGAATAACTTGCGATTTCGTCAATCTTCGCTGATCGTGATTATGTCGCATCATTATCGACCGATTCACAGTGAAACGGTGCGCTGGAATGTCATGCAAAAATGTAGAATAAAAGCGCCGTCTGTATTAGACAACACATACTGTTGCGATTGCATAAGTCTATTGTTGCCTAACGTGTCAATAGATCACACGGATCGTAACCTCCAACCGGATCGAAATCGCTCTTCCAGAGATAGTTTATCGCTGGTTAGACAGATAATTAATGTGAGCCGTGCGCCATCGTGAATCTGTTTCTTTTAGCAATCAGAAGCGTCACATAAGACTCGACACGAACTTCTCGAGAACAGATAAAAACCGTTTATCGCGGACACGACGACGACGTAGGCCAAAAATCGCGAATGTCGCGAGTGCACGACAGAAGATAAAAATCGCGATCGCCTTGCGAATTTATTAGAGCGCGAAACATTGTTTAATCGCGCGATTGACCGTGTAGAGGGAACGAAAATTGTAGAAAAAAAAAACTGTCCAAAGTAGCGGCGTAAACGCGAGTTACGTCGTAAGTGTGTGAATGAGACGAAAGATAAAGATACAACACCGACGTGCGCGTATACACACGTGACATATGCGCGAAAACCATTTAATGTATAATGCAGACATCTCAACCAGACGGTATCTTCGACATGTCGCGATGCATCTGTGTTCGTGCGTATATATGTGTGCGCGTGTGCATGACAAATTTCCACGATTACACCGAACGGCCGATTTTTTTTTTCAGCGTTCAAATGATTCATCTCGTCATTTTCGCAATTAACTAACTGCAACTCGCGTACAGAAAAAGCGGACTGGACAATCGCGCGAAAGGAGAAAACATGTACAATTTGACTGAACGTTAATGGACCATTTATCTTTCCCGGAACCGTGACTTCGTGTTTTATTGTGTATTTGAACCAGTTAAATGTCCGTAATCCGTTAGCGGTTCTAATTATTGCTCCGAGACCGATACTACTGCAGCTAGTCGCGGACTGAGCGATCTCAATTAAATTACATATCGAGGAATGATATTTGCGTTATAAGCTATTTCTGACATCGGCTTGTCTGATTAATTATAGAATGTGATTAACGACAAAGTTAAGTTTCGCACGACAAGCCTAAGTTTCGTTTCCCGATTGCAAGTTCCCGTGTTAATTGAGGAATTGATTTCAGAGAAACGACAATCGCGGCAACGCCGCGAAGGGACCGTCATGATGAACATCGAGGATTTTTCTCGTAACTTTTCTCGTAACTCAATCATATAATCATATGCCGACGATAAATATGCCGACGACGACGCACTTATCCAGTTAGCCAACTTAACACAATCGCCGTAATTGTTCTCGCGCGGCCCGTCGGAAGTCTTTTTTCTCTTTCTTTTTTTCTTTATCGCGTCGTAAGTACGACACGATTATTTCGGCCAGGGTAATCATCATGTGATTTATCATCAGGAGCGAAAACGCGAAAAATCTCATCATTGCTAAGATCGTCGAGTTCATGTGAATTCACTTTTCACTTTTCCGTTCATAAAGGAAAAATTGCACGATCGCTATTCTGAAAAACTGAGTCTACAGAATGAAATCGTTCGATCGGTCAAAATTTGAATTTGAACAATAGCTATTTAATTGGCGTGCAGCCGTGAGGTTCGAAGCGAAGTTCACGATACGACGTCGTTGTTTTACTAAATTCTACTAAATACTGTAAATTTATAGTATATTTATATTACATATTTTGAATTTCAAAATAGTTTGAACACTCTTTTTTTTTTAATGCAGTTTGGAATGTAATCGATAATCCAATTCAGTGATATTAACTATAAATTTTCAATATTAATAGCGGAACATAGTCCGTAATACACGCACCAATCACACATTGCAATATTATGCCATTTTAATAATATTTTTAAATATTGCTGCAACATTATTGAAATAATATTGCAAAATAATATCTTTGTAATGTCTTTGCACTGCAATATGCAATGTTACAGAGTTGCAGCAATGTTACTGTACTATATGTGAGAATAGTCTGAAGTCCGGTTTCATTCACCGATTGCACGGAAAAAAATGTTTAACATTTGTGACGATAGTCGCTTAGTGAAAGAATTATGGTCAACAGAACTACGTAGAAAAGTGCTAGTTTCAAGTAAATAGTTATTCCAGTTCTCTTTAGCAAATTTTTACCTGGATCAAATAATAGTAGTCACTTGATCCACGTAAAATATTTTTCAAGTAAATAAAATCCAAGCAAACTATTGATTCAAGTAAAATTTACTTAATCCAAATAAAAATTTGCCAAAGAGAATTGGAATAATTGTTTACTTAAATCTAGCACTTTTTAAAATATTTTTTTATTAAGTATTAAAATTCAGATACAATACAAGGAATAAGGAATTAAATACGAGTATAGGGAATTAGGAATAAGATATTAGGAATAAGCTACAGTTTGATACAGAATAAAAGAAATAGAGAATGAGATATAAAAAAGTATCTTAAAACGAGATTGCCGCTTTTATCATTTTCTTGATAAAATTCTCAATTGTTTCAAACTTTTCATTTACATATTAATGGTCATTAGATATTTTGAAGATTAACTTTCAGTCAACTACTAAGCCTTGTAAGCAAGTTATAAGAAATAAAATTTCGACAATATTCCCAATCCTAATTCCCTATCTTTTCACT